GAAATGGATGCAATAATAAATGCCCTAAACAGCTTGAGGGAGGGATCAGCTCATCCAATATATACCTATCTGGACCCTGAGGTCATCTTCAGGGGTCCTTCTCCTGGGAGCCCCTTCTGAAGGAAATAAGATGGGTGGCTACTAGAAGAAAGGCCTTTTTGGTTGTGGTACCCCAGTTGTGTAGTGAACTTCTCAAAGAGGTGCACCTGGTACTTCCTTTGTATTCTTTTCTGTGCCAGGTGAAGACCTTTTTATTCCCCCAGCATTTTAACAGTTTAACATCATGTTTTAATATTGCATTTTATTCTATGCCACTGCTATGCTTCTATTCTGATTCAATTGTTATGTGTTTGTATGTGTTTTATATTTTAAAATTTTGTTTTTAACCTTTGTTAACCACCCAGAAATCCTAAGCTATTGTGCAGTATAAAAAATGAATTAAATAATCCTCAGCCTAATCTCACTTAGCCTATGGACTAATTTTGAATGCTCTGGCATGGATGATTGGACAGCCTGCTTGGTACAGAGGTAGTGGAAGAAAGAGAAAAGGGTGTCTATTTCAAAGATGTCTTGCATTTGAAGTGTGGTGGCTAAAACTGCTCATCAGCACTACCTGAAAAGTAGACTGAGCTAGGCACACAGGTAACAGTCTTCCACACTATGGCAAGATTTAGTATATGTCTATTAAAATTGCATTAATTTTTCCATATAAAATATTTCTGCATCTTTCCATGTTGTTTGTTTTTATTAACTACTTTTTCTGATTCTATATTTTTTGTACTTTTATTATGTTTGTATGGACTATGTAAACCACCCAGAGAGCCTTAGCTGTAAGGAAATGTATAGGCATAGAAATGAAATAAATAAACAAACCTGGTGAAAACTGGTTTGGTTTGATAGCTTGCTTCAAAACTATGCTCAAATTCTCCAACCAAATCATTCTTCAGCTCATATAGATGCACATTTGAAAATGCCCATTGTTCTCAATCTCTGATCAAAAGCCACCTTGCAGCAAGGCTAGCTCTGCTCCTGATCCATTATGTACAGATTGATTACTGTGATATTATCCTTGAATATGAACTTGCAGGATTAGAGGTGCTTCCTAATGGACGGCTCTTAGCATGCCTGATCAAAAGGCATTGTGCACCTATTTTGTCTTTCCCTACTTAACAGGTTTTCTGCAGTAATAAAGGCAGAAGTGCTAAGAAAACATGGGGTGGGGTTGCTTTGATTATAAGATGGTGCCCAGGATCCCCTATACAATTCTGTAAATGGGGCAAAGTGATGACACCATAAAAGCCTCATGTTGAAGAAGCCTCTTTCTAAAATGCTGAAGTCTGACTGATTATTTGAATAAGCCCTATTAAACTGTTTACATGGCCCCAACAGCTGCTAGCAAATGATAATGCTGTTCTAAATAGTCTGCAAAACTCAAACAAAACTATACATGAGTTTTTTTTTCAGTTGCTGCTTTGAATATAATTACATCTGGATACCTCAGTATATTCAACAGACACAAATAGGCAGCTAATTACTGCTCATAGGAAAATGTTGTATTGCAGATATAAAAAGGCTCTTACAATGGGCAAACCAATAATCTGAGAGGAAATTGAATTTTCTAGGAATAATAGTCATTAATCAGAGTTAAAGCCCAAATATATGTGTATGTAGTTCTGTTGTATTTCTGAGATCAAGATGTTTATCAATAGTTTTAAGCTGTACTGTATCAAAATTATGTAGACAAATTCTGAGAGTAGTATGACTGAAAACTTACATTTTTAACTATTCTACTATGTTAAGCAATACTTAGACTCTCAGGAAAATTCTCAGGTGTTTTACATCACAAATATTGCTTTTTGAATATAATGTACAAATGAAGATAGCACTGTCATACTTGCATACCTAAGACCAGAAGCTTTCTTTGCTTGGCTCAAAACCTCTTTACAGAGCAATTTTATGCATTACTACTTAGAAGCCAATTCTGTTTATTACAGTAGGAATCACCCTTAAGTAAGTGCACAGGATTACAGATTTTGTCAATTTATAGTACAGTGCATGTCTTACCCATATGCACTTGTAATTAAGCTGCATTGAGCTGAGTGGGACAAATCTCCAGACAAGTGTGTATGGGATTTCAGTCCTAATAGTTCAACCCGATGCACATTTACTCATTAGTAAATTTGTGTTTGATGAAGTAACTTTTCATAGGATTGCAGCCTGAGAAGTAGCAAACATTGTGCATTATATGAATTTTGAATATATTTTGCTTTTATGGTTTTTAAAAATTTACTTCATGTAACCACAGGAGTTAACATCCCCATTGATACACCACTGTTTGACTACTGTTACACACTCTATGTATGGCTGCTTTTATAAACTCTCAGCTTTCAGGACTCCAGTATTCTTTCCTCTAAAGCTGTTCTGGAAATATTACCTGCTTGGGAAAGAGGGAATTGCACAACATTGGCTGTATTAATATGCAAAGATACACCTACATTCCAAGGAATCCTGGTTTTCTTTGAATGAGCTGTGTGTTAGTACATGCAGCCTATTCATGCCTTTAATTAATGTATAATAGCAGACTCCATGAGCAACAGGTGAAGCTTCTCTTATATGCAAATTAATTTCTGCCTATCATTAAGGTCTTAAAAGCACAAAGACTCTACTAGGGGAAAAAATGGTAGCAATTGCCTTCTTTTCTCACACTACTTATACCTACCTGCTTAAGCCCAGGGAGAACAAGGAGCTTAAACAAAGCAGCAGTGGCAGCTTCCACAAAGCTTCTGTCTCTGGTTGTACCTCCTGCTACAACAAAAGCACTATGTGCCCCTTGTTATTCATGCACAGGATAGAAGTGTGAAGTGATGAATGAACTGCCTGAACACCACTTTCTGGTTACTTTTCAGTGCTTTTTTCCTTTAGAAATGACAGTGACCTAAAGCAAAGTAGAATTTTCTAAAATCGTTATTTCATATGAAGACAGTTTTACATTAACAGCCAGGTGTCATTATTTTCAGGAATGGAGAATTGAGAGATATCTGCTACTTTCTTTCCAGTGGTGCTAGGGGCAGTGAAATCATCCTATCACTTGGTAGAACCCAATGTAAATATCTCTAAATCAGGAGTACCCAACCTAAGGTGCCTGCACTCTCAAGGGGTGCCAGATGGCATTTCAGGGGGTTCACAACAAAGAAGAAGGCTGCTTCATGATTTGCTGAAATTTACCCCAATAATAATAAAATTATTTATTATTACTTTGTTTGTGTTTGAGTCAGTTCTCTTTTGTCAGTCAAGACAAAACCTAAGAATTGTCTGAATCCACAGGCAGAATTGGAAATTGCAATCAGCAAGAAAGTTCCACATCATTCTACAGGAGCCTTAATGTAGACAACATCATGAATGAGAAACAGGAAGAAGTCATTGAATTTTCTGTCCATAATTGGGATTGAGTTTACTGTTTACAGTTTTTTCAAATTGCTAAATTTATATTTGAATTTTAGGCACTGAGTTAAAGGTGTTTTTTAGTTCGATTTGTTCACCCACACTGTATGTGGTTCAAAAATTTAAAAATTGACTTCATCTTCAAATGTGATACTACTTCCGTGGGAGTGCAAACATAAATCTAGGGGTATGGGGCATAGAAAAGATTGGGAACCACTGTTCTAAACTCTCCTCCATATTATCTTTAGGCTGCAATCATATACATAATTAGCTGGGACTAAGCCTCATTGAATCCAATTTGACTTACTTCAGAACAGGCATGTACTGTATAGGGTTGCACCAAGAACTCCATGAAGACACACTGATTGCAACATTTAGTTGCCCATTCCCTCCACCCTATCACTACCAACCTGCTTTTAGTAATGTTTTGCTTGAAGAGACTGGGATTTGTTTTGGGGTTTTTTTTGGGGGGGGGGCAATCTTTTTGTTGGACTTAATAAAGGCTTTACACTATATGGGATTTGAAATGTTTGTCATGGCTAACAGTTTTTTCATAATTTCCTAGCAGTAGAAATTTTTAGCAGTAATAGAGATAAGAGTTCCTTTTGTACACTAACTCAAGTTTTATTTTCACTGGAAATGTAGCAGAAGCAGAAATATTAGATTTTAAATATTTAACAGTGTAGTACTAAATATACCTACTTAAAACTCCCATAGAATTCAGTGGGGCTTTCTCTTGGTGAAGTGGGTATACGATTCAGCCTAAAAGTTTAAGACATCTGCATTCAACTGAATATTGAATTTGGCTGCATAGTGGTAGTTAATATTTATAGCAGTCTTCCATTAAGATAATAACCAGTGTGGCATACGCCAAAAATATAACAAGGCATAGCTACAGTATTAAGTTAAATATTAATTGTAAGGAAAAACAGACAGACACAAACTCTAAAAGTAGACCTTTTAATTAGACTGCATTCTGCTGTAACCTGAGAATGTTTCGCATGAAGGATTTCTGAGCGGAAAGTCTTCAGCCCATTTTTAATGTGCAGTATTAGGGACAACTACACTGGATAAAGCACCGTCTCCGAGCGACAAAACAAATTGGGATCCCTGAAAGATATTAACATCTCCACAGGCAGAGGTTAGGATAATTTCTTCGAATGTTTAAAAAATCACATACTGCAGGCATAAATAATACGAGGAGGCTGAAGTTACTCCTAGTATCGTATTCGAAGCTCAGATGGAACCTTTCTCGGTCTCACAGTAGTATCTCAGCTCGAACAAAAACTGCTCTTCTCTTGATGGTCAAACTGCTGTCCCATCACAGCCATGCTAAAATCCGGGATTTCTTCATTGTTTTCAATGAACAGTTTCACTTCCTCTGCCGGGAAGGCCAAAAACCAGCATTCCGCGGAACCCAGAAGTTCGAGTCTGCCTATAAATAATCACACGTCTAGCAGATAAAGGGGGGAAGGCGGAGAATCTACAATCGCCATTGGCTACCGGAAGAGTTTCCTTTCTGGTCCGTCGCTTTTCTGTGTGTCACTTCCGGCACAGTGTGCGACCCAGCAATGGCGACGGTGACAGCCTCAGCCGTGATGGCGCTCGCAGGGCGAAGAAGTGCGTTGTGAGCGCTGCTGCTCCTGCTGCTTTTTCTCCCCCTCGTTCCTTATTTTCCTACTGTCGCCCGTGGGGGCGCCGCTAGAGTAGGGAAAGCGCTTTGACGGTTCGCTGTGGTCGGCTGGCTCCTTTTTGTTTTTGCCAGTGCTACGATGGCGCCGGTGCAACTGGAAAGCCACCAGCTGGTCCCGGCTGGGGGTGGGCCCGCCTCGGCCCCTGCTCCACCGCCTCCCGGGACGGCGGCAGCGGCCGCCAGTCCGGGCTACCGACTCAGCACGCTCATCGACTTTCTGCTGCATCGCACGTACGCGGAGCTCACCGTCCTCGCTGATCTGTGAGTGCCAGACGCCTTGTGCTGCTTCACTCCCTTTCCCCCCCAGATATCAGCCCCCCACGCTCTGAGACGGCACTGTTAAGCAGTTTGTTTCGGACCCGCTTGCCTGCTACCCGCACTTCTTACGACATGTTAAATGTCATGAAAACAACAAGTTGCTGGTGGTGGTATGGAAGCCTCACCTTCTGGTATGATCAGTATCCTGGAAATCGGTTCATCTACTGAGGCTTTTAGGTATCTGCCAAAGATTTAAAAGCACAGTCCAAAACTTAAAGCATGAATGAGTTAAAATGTTGTTTTACAACATGGAGTTTGTACAAGTGCAGTTATTAGGGAGCTGGTGTTAAGTCCTGCTTTCTGTGGAGTTTGTTGCCCTTACTTCATTGTAGTGTGAAATGAACCTATTTTGTCTATGTTAAGTCAGAAAATAAAATACTTGATTATTTGATCAAAAATATGGAGTTAGGGTACAACTGGAAAGTTACTATGCTCTTAATTGGGTGCTTTTTCACTGTGAGAGATAGGAAATCTGTGGTCCATTCTAGGTTAATCTGTCCTTCTTGGACAAGTGTTGGTAGAAGCATCACATGTGACTGGGTTGCAGTGACTTGAATACATTGAAACAATGCACCCTGTACTGACAGCAAATGCTTTTCTGATATTCTGGTTGTTTTAAAAATGGAAGTGTATACTTCAAAAGTTTGTGTTTGGGCTTTGAAACAATCTCTTACATTAAAAATGGAATACTTGTGGCAACATACATGCTGACAACTTTGCTAGGAGCTCTTTAAAGCATTTCCAGTCATGCCTGGGTCTCAGTAATACATAATTTGTGCACAATAGCAAATTAGGTAGTGTTCTCTGCAATAGTAGTACAAAGCACTGTAAAGAATCACAACAACTTCAGAATTTGAAAGGAAAGGACAACTTGTTGGTGGTGTGTGTTTGTGTGGCCTAAAAAAATATTTTTTTGGAATAGCTATACAAGTGGAGATGGGTTGGATTAGAAATTTATAATATGTAAGTATGCTGTCTAAATGGCTATGGGGTGAATTGGAGACTCAGCTCCAACCTTAGAGAAGTACTCTGAGGTTGGAGTTGGAACTCTGAATTCAGAGCATCCATTTTTTCACAGTGCAGTTCTTTCCACACTGGTTGTGGCTCTGAAGTTGCAGGATTAACCTCAGAGACTGTTGTGGGGGCACTCTGAGGATAGGTGGAGAACAAGGAGCTGCCATTCTGTGAGGAATCCTCTTAACACCTGTATCTCCTTTCCGTGTGAGCATGTATAAAACACTTAGAGAGCAAATCTATAGTTTCAGTTGTCTAAGTGTTTTGGACAGTGCTCCCTGCATCTGTACTCCTGCCCTCCAGTAGATGCCTGTAATCCTCTGATTCCAGAAGATGATAGGTAATCCCATTGGATGGTGCTATGAGTATCTTATTAACAGAAGCTGACAGTAGTTCTTTGCCAATGAAAGCTAATTAGAGAAGAAAGCAATTCATTTCTAAGATGCCATAATATGTCCAAATCAGAACTCCAGTCATATTCCCTATTGTTTCATTGAGGTTAAACAGATTCAGAATCTGTTTTCACTGGCTTAACTAGTTTGGGAATCATAGCTGTTGCAGTTTAGGATTCTGTTCTCTCCAAATATATGTTGAAATCAGCTGTAAAATTGCTGTTTAAAAGTTAATCATGAATGTATTTAACTCTTAACTTTGAAGAAGACAAACTTAAAATAGCAAGCAGCAAAATAGAAAGCTAAAATACATTGGTGCTTAAATGCATAGTAGATGTAGTTCATGATGTGCAAGTGAGGGGAAATAAAAAGTGAAAGTTCATGTAGTTAATATTTTAAAGTTTTGAAGTCTGTCATAACATTATATTTTGTTCTTTCTTTCTAAACAACAACAACCTCCCACAGACTGCCAAGAAAAACTGATATGGAAAGGTGAGTAATGACAAGTGAGGCGGATTTAAAATTATTTCAGTTAAGTTTATGAAGTGTAGACCCTCTGCAAAATAATTGGATACAGTGATTTCTTTTATTAGGTTTACCTGAATTAAAAGGAATGAAGTTATACTGCTTTGCTCTTCTGTTATAGAATTATGTTCCTTCACTTTTTTGCATGTATAGATTGAACCTCAAAACCTGCTTGACTGCTTTACATGTAATAAAAAAAAATAGTTTTAAACTTTCCTTCCACCCCACCCCTCAGTAATCAGGGGGAGGACTTGGGATCTGGCCAGGTTATATACCAGTAATGGAGCGGTCTGTCAGATATAGAGGTCCCTCCTGCTGAAGAGGTGATGCCGGTTGCTAGCAGACAACACAGGCAGGAGAGTCAGTTCATGAAGCAATGGGAAGAGCTCTGGCAGGTGAGGTATCAGCGCCCCACCTCTGGGTTGATGGAGGAGAAAGGGATATAAATGGGGTGGAGACTGAGAGGTGTTAAAGAGGGCTCAACACTTCACTTTAGGTAAATGCAAAGATGTGCAACAATGGGGGTGTGTGACAATAAAGCCTTGTGAAAAGAAACTCTCGGGCCACATATTTAATGAGGAGGAGAACCATGCCTCGCAACAGCTAGCACCATGCCATAGTTGTCTCTATGCATGCTCATTTGCAGTTTTGGAGAACTTGCTGTAAAAGGATGAGGACTATAATTCGGTGATATCGGCAGTTGGCATTTTTAAAGTTAAAACAGACAATGGATAATGTGAAGATTGTTTAGTCCTTGCATTACCCACTCTTGCTGAGTTCACACGACATGACAAACCTGCAAGTGGGTTTTGCACATTCAAAAGAGCAGCCACATGGTGGGCTGCCATGTCATGCAGAGAAGCCCAATGTGGTACGAAGTTTGGGTCCCTTTGAGGCTGTAGTTCTATGGAGACTTGGAAGTAAGCGTAATTGGACTTCTGAAAAAAATACCAGTGGTATTAGGCTGAAAACTTTAACTTCTTACTGAACAAATCCTAAATTTTGTACATCTGTCATATGTACATCTGTCTTCAACCTGTCATATTCCTAACAAGTCAGGTATATGCATTCTGTTTCCATTTTCTGTTTCCATTCTGACCTATTGTGTGTATTTAACAGTTGGTAAGACTTTCATGAGCATAATTAGAATGTGCTGCTTTGAGTCAAAGCCCCCATTAGACTGATACAGCTGGAATTCATTGGTAGAGAACCAAACAATCTATAATATCCTGAAACTAAACTTCTATAATAAAGTGTGCTATGTCACTGTGAATGCAAGTCATTAAGTGTAACTGTTTTAAAGTGGGTTCCCTGCTTTTTAATACAACTGCTGTAGGGCATGTTTTAATTAACTAGCATAGCTGTCTGCCATCGAGAATTGAATACAGTAGAGAAATTGACTAGCTATTGATTTTGCAGATTGCATAACAGAATGAGAATATCTTTATAACAATTTATTTTTCCAAAATTTATAACAAAGTCAAGGCAATTTACATTCAGTGAAATTAAATAGCTCAGACCGAGCAGCTGTGTCAGTAAAGTAAAAGACAAAAGCTTGAAGTCTATACCATTTCAAAGACATGAGAAAAAGACATTTACTTTGTGCGAATAATGAAGTGGCAAGGAAGGCTTCCAGAGAGTTGGTTGAAAAGCTGAGAATGGCTTGTCTTGTAGCCTTACCCTACAAGAGTTTAGTTGTGCATCACAAGGAGCATTAATAGTGTTTGTGCACAAGGAACAGATCAGAGAGAAGGGCATAGCAAGTGTAAAAGTAAGGATGATGTGTTCAATATGCTTGTCTTCTTGGAGTTTAAGCCTAGCTTTTTCAATCATTACTGGTCTTTCATAAAACTTGGCAAGTCAAAACCAACAGAAAGTCGTGGATTCTAGTGTCATGCTTTCTACAAGACGTAGATCTTTGTAGGCTGTTTTGCCTGTTGTTTAAAAATAAAACATTAGATGATTGGACTTATCTGTGAATCTGTGTTGAAGAATAAGGTGGCAATAACTACTTGGTCCGCTGTTTGATTCACAACCCAGTTGGATTATATGTAGAGTAGATATCCTTGGAAACTAGTTTGTTAATGACTGTGTTTGTACAATGTAACAATACATCTTGGCTTGTGAATTGAGACATGGTTTCTCATGTCTTGCAAAGACAGACTAATTCTCAAAGGGTGACTTGTTTGACGCCAACAAGCTACTCTGACAGCTCTTACCTTGTTTTTATGGTTGTTGTGTTATCCTAACCCATGTGACTAGCCCTAGTGTGGGTATCATGGATCAGCTACTGACTCATTTGGCAAAAGCAGAAAAAAGCCCTTGCCACTCCTCTCAAACATGCCTTGGCACTGACCACTGTCAGCCATAAGCCACAAATGTTCATGTGACAGTCAATGTGCTGTAATTGTAAGCTGATTTTCCCCTTCCCTCCTTTTTACTTACTGAGATACTAGTCTCCCTTTAAAGGATCCCCTCGCTGCATCCTGATAATCTTCAGGATGTGGCATAATTTGTCCTTTTTCATATGGTGCTAGTACTCAGGAAAGTGCAAAACTCTCTTCCCCCTCCCCCACTAGTTTTTCTGCAGCTCTGTGTTCCTGTCAGTGCCCCCCCCCCCTTTAAAGGCCCACAATTTTGACAGCTACCTTTGAAATGTCAAAACTCCTTTTCCCCCACAAAAAGAGTGAGAAGCACTTCTGCACTTTCCCAAGCACTTAGAGTCGTTGGCAGGGATGTGGAAAAGGTTCATCATGTTTATTATGATGGACAGGGGAGACATGCTAGTTCTGCCTTAGGAGGGAGGAGGCCATCCATGGTGTCTGTTGGATGCCTCATAGGTTGTTCATACAACAACCAGCCCACCATTAGTTAATGCACCAGGGTAGGTCATTGTGCTGTATGAATGAGCTCAGTGTGTCTTAAGTTTCTTTCTCTTTTTTAGAAAGAGACTAGAGTTATGTTTTTCTGCCTGTGTGTGGAACCAGATGACCAACTATTTCAGTTTCTATCCATAAAGGATGCCTGCTGGGGAGTAGTAAAACTTTGTTTTTAAAAATCAAACAATTAGAATAAAACAATTAGAAGCAGCTTTCTCTTACTGTAACTTCATTGTCAACATAACACAATGCTGAATATCTGTATGAATGCATATGAGGTCTGTGTATATCTGAAGTCCAGTATCAAAATATGAGCCTGAAATAACATTTGTCATATCTGATTCCAATCTTGCCTATACTAGTTCTTTCAAAATAATTGAAGTACAGATTTTCTAAAGGCAATTTGTTTCTTTACAGAAAAATTGAAATCGTGCAGTTTGCAAGTCGCACACGGCAGCTGTTTGTCCGATTATTAGCTTTAGTAAAATGGGCAAATAATGCTGGAAAGGTTGAAAAATGTGCGGTAAGTTTGAAATCATTTATATGTTCCCAGGTGAAATTACTATAAGCTGGAAAGTAGTTGTAGTCTATCCAGCTAAGATAAATGAGAGACCAGTTATATGTTGCAAATTCATGGTCATTAATTTTAAAATATTGTAAGTAAAAAAAATTAAATTCTTGATTTCTTTGGGATATAATGAATAATTTACCTTTGGAAAACTTTTGCCTACTACAGCTATTATTTCTTCATTTCATTTCTATACCACCCAATAGCCAAAAGGCTGTTTAGGAGGCCAAGACTATTTTTTTAACCTGCCTGAAATTATTTTGTTGTTTAACATAGAAACCAAGCAAAATCTTTAGTTTTCAGGAGGTGTAGTCCAATGAATAGTTTCAAAGTAATGTAAAATAGAAAATGGCAAAACTTGTGGAATATCAGGGGTTGTGAGGGTTGTTTAGCCAGCTGTGTTCACACAGCGTAACAATCCCTTATGGGGTTTTGCATAGCCATAATGCTGCCTGCTCATACTGCAGCTCCTTGAGGCTTAATTAACCAATGATGGGCTACTATGTCATCCAGATCAGGGCACTGTGGAACAAAATGCTGACTGTTCGGATCATCATTTAACCTGTGATGCACTACCTGTGGCAAGCATCAGGTTGAATGTGTGACCCACCACTTGGCAACTCATGTTATGCAAACTCAGAGAATGAGGGGATCTGCAAGGGTTAAGCTACCCTCATGTAAGTCAACATCTGTTCCATACTTACTAAGATCTCATGACAACAGTCCCTGAGCAGGGGTTGCACATTTTAAATGGCAGCTGCATGTGCTCTTGGATTAAATAACTACAGTAGGTTGTCATGTCCTGCAAACAGTCTCAGGACAACATTATGTAAATTTGTAGCAAATGGTGACATGCAAAAATACAAAAACAATGTAATCATGAACAATGGGCAATAATACAAAATACAACGTTTTTTAAAACTTATAACTCAAAAGTAATTGGCCTAGTCAGATGTTTCTTTCTGTCCTCAGCTGCTTAGGTCTAATCTTTACCCTATTACCTGATTCTCTTAAATTTTCTTCTCTTTTCTTCCCTCACTTTGTCCAGTTCTCACTGGATTCTCTTAATACCCTGAAAGCACTTCAGCTACTTCTGCCTGGGATGGGTTTCTTCCCTTTTGAAGCAGGTCAGGGTTTCTTTAGTACGGTATTCTCCATTGTTCTGGCTTGACCTTTTCTTTGGTAGTCTGAGCAATGGACCTGACATCTTCTTCAGTTGTATAGCTTCCCTGCTTCTTGGATAAGCCAGTTCATACATGCAAAGGTGTTGTCTTAGACAGGCCATATCACAAAAGCACCACATAACTATAGATTTGCAAAGCATGTGTTCCCTTGCTCCTTGAGTTTCTTCTTTGCTTGATTTCCTTTTTACATTACTTCCAGAATGATAATTCCCATATTATCTCTCAAATGCATGCTCTTGTCCTTTTGGCAGATGTGTCTAACTAAAATTCCCTGTATAATTTGTAATGATTCTTACATATTTTGGAAAACACCGCTTTCTCCTTAACAGTCTATTTTCATATACAAGCTACATTATTTGTTTCACTAAAGCCTTATAGAATAGGAGGTATCTAAATAATTTGCATTTTACACAGTAATTTAGGAATGACTTGGGTATGAAGAATTAGAAAGGGATTAATTTTTATCTTTTTTGTTTTTACAGATGATATCGAGCTTTTTAGATCAGCAAGCAATTCTGTTTGTTGACACTGCTGATCGTTTAGCCTCTCTAGCCAGGGATGCTTTAGTACATGCTCGTTTGCCTAGCTTTGCTATCCCATATGCTATTGATGTTCTGACAACTGGGTCATATCCACGACTGCCAACATGTATACGGGTAAATAGCTCTATAGTATAGTTAAATGTCTGTCACAGTCTATCTCATAGTTTTCTTAGCCTCATACCACCATCAGCTATGAAAATCCATACTATGTATATTAAGCCAACACAAAACTGCATGCAAAATAATATAGAAATATAGAAACCGAGCAAGTCAGAAGGGGTCTCCTGGGCCATCTAGTCTGACCCTTCAGCATTTTTCATCAGACTAGATCAAAGAAAATCATATTAATTTTAATAAATACCAAGTATTTTGTTTCAGACCTTTTGCATATTTCTTTAAAGTTCCTGTTTTGAGTTCTTTATTATTTAAGATTATATCCTGAATGAACCTGAATGGTGGCTGATTTGGGAAAGATAAAAGGAAGTACTTTGTTCAGTTTATAGCTAAAATATCGAATTCATTCCCATATGATGTAATGTTGACTACCAAGTTGCATGGCTTTAGAAGGGGAATTTAGAAAATTCATGGAGGATAAGACTGTCGGTGGCTACTTGTCCTGCTGACTATAGGCTACCTCCAAAGACAGAAGCAGTATGATAGTGTGCGCCAGTTGCTGAACATGAATAGAAAGCCAGTGTGCTATACTGGGAACCACCAGGTTTTGGCCCCCACTCACCTGGGTGTCTTTGGGCCAGTCGCTGATTCTCAGGCCAACCTAGTCTCACAGAGTTGTTATGAGAATAAAGTGGAGAGGTGGAGGACTAAGACACCTTGGACAAATTGCAAAAGAAAAAAAGGCAGGATAAAAATGTTATAAATCAATGAATGGAAGTCTGTTATTGCAGTCATTTCCTACTTGTGAGTTTCCCAAAAGCTGGTTGGTCACTGTAGGAGCAGAATGCTGGGATAGATGGACTTTTGGTCTGATCCAGCATAGCTCTTAGGTTCAAATTGTGGGAAATTATTAGCATTTTTGAAAATTATACTTTTAAAAAGTTATAATCATTACCCTTGTTGCTACCTTTCTGATGACTAAAATTTAAGGAACTCAAGGTGACTCACTTAACCCCATCCTCTCAGTCTTATCCTCACAACAACCCCGTGAGGTGGGTTAGGCTGGCCCAAAATCACCCAGTGAGCTTTGTGGCCATGTAGGGATCAGAACATGGATCTCCTGGAGCCCAGCCCAGCATTATGTAACCATTACACAATAGTGTTTCTTGTGTGCTTACTTCAAGTAAAGGAATCCCTGGCAATTAGACTTCCATCAAGCGGTTTGCTTCTTTCCAGTTCAGCAAATTTCAAGTTTTGTGTACTTTAGCAACTGTTCAGTGAATACCTTGAGTGTTGTACTGTAAAAAGGCATGTGTTCCAACTGCAGCACTCACTGGCGCTTAAAAATGGCTTATGTGGGGCATGTGTGATATATTGCAATATTTTCCACTGAACTCCAGAGGCTTTGTATCTTCAGTTGTAAAAGTAGTTTGAGATATCAGGAAGTTTAGCTTTTCAGTAATTCCATGTAAATTTTTTGCCTGAGCTCTTTGAATCCTGACCAATATAGACCTGTAATATGGAGGTAATACACGTTGAGTGAATACGTGAATGTATTTCAGAATAACTTAAATTAGCATATGCATAACTTGACAGGATAAAATAATTCCTCCTGATCCAATAACAAAAACTGAGAAACAGACAACGCTCCATCAGTTAAACCAGATTCTTCGCCACCGCCTGGTGACAACAGATCTTCCACCACAACTAGCGAATCTTACGGTTGGTAAGTAAGGCACTTTAACCACTTAAATCCACTTAACTAGCTAATTAAAATGTTTAATATAGAAATTTTGAGTGAAACAAGGGAATAAAAGCCATTAGGTAAATTTTGGAAGTAGTATCTAAAGAATTTTCAGTTGTACTCAAAGATGCAGAAAGATGGATTGGTAGCTCTCATTTTGATTCCTGTAATGTGCTTTACATGCACCTGGTCCTGAAACCAGTCTACATGCTTGCACTGGTACAAAATGCAACTGTCTCCTTGATGATAGAGAGATACATAGAACATGACTGACCCCTGAGTGGTAACTGATCCTTTGGCTCTGATCTGTATTGGTTAAAAGTTTGTTTCAAAGCTCAACTTAAGGTATTGGTTATTAACTTTTAAGCTCCACACAGCTGAAGCATTGCATTCCTTAGAATCTTAAGGCTTAGAATCATAGAATAGTAGATTTGGAATGGGCCAGAAGGCCATCGTGTCCAACCCCCTGCTAAGTGGAGGACACCTAATTAAACCATCCCCCTCAGATGACTGTCCAGATGCATCTTGAATTTCTCCAGTATGGGAGAACCTACAAGCCCCCTACATCATTGGATCCATTGTTGTACTGCTCTAACAGTCAGGATTTTTTTCTGATGTCTGTCTTTCTTTCTTACTTACTTACTTATTTAGAGTTTTTGTATGCCGTCCCAATGCTTAACGCCTTGGAACGGCTTACATAAATAAACATAGTACAAAAAATACAAATTATACAAATTAAAAACCGAATTCATTCCGGCTGCAAATTAAAACCTATAGTTAATATTAAACGTTGTTAAAATATTGTTTAAATAAAAAGGTCTTAGCCTGGCGCCGAAAAACAATGACGGTGCCAGGCGGACCTCTCTGGGGAGCGCATTCCATAGGTGGGGTGTCACCGCAGAGAAATCCCTCCTCCGGGTACTTACCCTCCTAATATCCTTCACGGAGGGCTCCCGTAGGACACACTACTGGACACACTACTCCAGATGAGGCCTCACCAGTGCTGAGTAAATTGGAACTAGTACTTCACATGACTGAGTGTATGCTTTCCCATACGTGTCTCCCAGATTTGGGAGTCATTGCAGGAAGCTTTGCTGAATGCAGTTGGGAGGTGTTCTTAGTTGAGCACCTGAAACGTGACTCAGCTGCGGCATCAAAACTTTAAAACTTTTCATTCAGAAGCTCAGCAAGCTTCTTCACTTCATAAATCTAGTCAGGTTTACAGTGGATATCACAGATGAGTGTGCTGTTGTATTGTGATGCTGTGCTCTTCTGTAACATGACTTGGGTGTTATTAAAATAAACTGTTTCCTTTTTTGCTTAATACCTTGCTTTATGGTATATTTTAATGGTTTCTGTTTCTAGCAAATGGTCGTGTTAAGTTTCGAGTTGAGGGTGAATTTGAAGCTACCTTAACAGTGATGGGAGATGATCCTGATGTCCCATGGCGCCTTCTCAAACTTGAAATTCTGGTTGAGGACAAAGAGACTGGAGGTAATGCCAAATACATTATCATGGATCTAATGCCTCTTCATTAAGAGTGCTGGCCCCAAACTGATGCAGTCCATTAACTGTTCTGTTAAAGGAAATTGTATTGTTTTTCATGGCCATTTCAAATATTGATAATGTCAGTCTCAGCATTTTACTGTTCTCCAGCTCTGTGTTTTCAAAGTGTACACTGCAACAGTGGTCACTCTCCAAGCATTAATACATTCTTGCTACTTTCTGCTAATGTATGAAGCATTGAACAAAATTTAAAAGTCATCTTTTAAGATCCATTAAAACACAGAGGGTTTTTTTTGTTTTAATTTTAATGAAAGATGGTCGAGCCTTAGTTCATAGCATGCAGATCAACTTCATCCATCAGTTGGTCCAGTCCCGGCTCTTTGCAGATGAGAAACCTCTGCAGGACATGTACAACTGCCTACGTATCCTTTTAAGTAATTTGCTCTGATATGACATTCACGTCTGGACCTGGAAAGGTGGGTAAAGCAGGAACAAGCTTATGGATTTGTTCTAGATTGGCTGTTGCACAAATAGAAGGGCTCCTTCTGTTCATGGAAGGCACCAAGATGGAACTGGGGCTCCCTGGTGTATGAGGGGCTGCAAGACAATCTTTGCCCATTTCTCCTCCTTCCTGCAGCCTTCAATGTTGTCTCTCATACTGGTCCAGAAGGTTCCTCACCTCACTGCAGCAACTTTTTAGGGGATACTTTGGACTGCAAGATGAAGAAGTAATTAGCACAGCTTGTCTCGCTGTCCCCTATAACTCTGCTATGCAGCTTTAGATCCAACAAAACTTTAGCTGCTTGAAAATGCTGGAAGGCTAGTTACAGGGAGCATGTGACTCAGTTGTTAAAACAGCTTCACTGGCTACCTCCCCATTTCCAACCAGAATTTAAAGTGCTGGTTCCAAGCTGAGAAACCTTATATCTCTTGGAATCGAGTTACCTGAGAGGCAGCTTTCTTTCTGCCCTGGTCTTTGGGAGAGGCTTTTTTTCTTAAATACTGATGCCTTCTGGGGCAAGTGTATTGACAGCTTCTGACCTTTTCAGTGGCTGCTCTGAGGCTGTGGAACTCTCTGCTGAGGGAGACTAAGTTTGCTTTCTCTCTGCTGTCCTTCTGCTGACAAGTAAATATGTTTTGATTGAAGCAGCCCTTTGGCATGTAAGCAGGTGCGATGGCTTAACTACTGTTTTTATTTTCTTGTTGCATTTTTAATTGTGTTTTAACACATTCATTTTATTTATAAGTAAATAATATATCAGTTTATGAATAAATTAAGCTTTATTTATGATTGTATGTAGCCTTGAATACTATATTTCTTGATAGAAAGGCAATCCAATATATGCAGATTATTGGGAGTGCTGACTGAGTAGCTTGTGGACCTTCTCTTGAAGCTATAAATATTTCTGATCTGTGTCGGTTCCCAGTTTTGTCACACACACAGGGCAAGGACTGCTTCAATTAATGTGAGAGCAGAAGCCATCTGCAAAACTCGGATAGCTGCACAAGTGTGTGTAATTTCTATTTAAGAAAAAAGTTCTCAAGGGATTGTAAAAATACTCCTCAATAAAAATTGCATTGCTGTGTTGCATCTTGAAATTTTGTTCCAAGCAGTTTTTAATATATATGTTTCGTATAATAGGGAGTTGCTTGAAATGCTTTAGGAATTGTAGCAGCTTGTACAGCTGTTTTGGTATTCTGGTGTTCTTAACCATAGTTGAAATCCAATGTGCAGTTACCTGAGAGTAAGTGTAATGGAACTCAGTAGGACTTGCTTATGAGCAGACATGTACAGGCTTGTGCTGTAAGCTGTCTTAAAAATATATAAATATTTTAAATGCATGTAATATGAAGGATAATTTCTTTAGTTCTAAATTTTAAGACTATAGAAATTCAAAATCTAATTGAATCAGAAGATTCCTTATAAAAAACAGCTCTTGGGTCTTAAAGCTAAGAATTGGTTTAAAATGTTTAGTTAACTATAACTGTGTTCATTTTTCATTAAAGTAGCAAGCAAGGGGCTTCAAGAAATGTAACAGTAAATTTATTTACTATTGAAAATTGCAACATACTTTATTTACTTAACCAGAATCCTTTAGACTCCTTCTGCTTGTCACTGCAGTTGGAAGTTTTACATTCACAGACGTTAATGCTGATTCGAGAACGTTGGGGCGACCTTGTTCAGGTGGAGAGGTATCACACAGGCAAATGTCTGTCCCTCTCTGTTTGGAAGTAAGTGAAATAATTGAAAACTGTAAATGTTCACCCAAGGCCCAAACCTTGGGAATTCTTATACTAGCATATTTGGATACTTATCTGCTTTTCACTGCACCACAGAACTTGCCAATTACTTGGATTTACTTAGATTTACTGGGATATATGGCTCCTTAGTGATCCATAAACAAGTCATATATAATTGCCTACATTCTGGAAATGACTCAGATACCATTTGTTTCTGAATTACATTATCAGACTTATCCAAACTAATTTTACTACTAAATCTCTTCTGACTTGAAATTAATATCTTGTTTATGTTTTGTGTACATTTGAACAACATTCCCAGAGTGTTTCTTGCAAGATTAGTCAGTTAAGTTTTATCGGATAGCTAAAGTTATCAAAATAATTCAAACACTCAGTCAGAGCATGTGTAATCAGAATGATAGCTGAAATAGTCTGGTCCCTACCATACCATATCAAACCAAATAAGCCTTGAAGTTGAACAGACTGAAATTTACAAATTCTTTCCTAATCCATGTGACTTGTATAGCAGACCATGCTGCCCTAAGGCTAACGTGGCTGACCTCACAAGCTCATTACAGCCTGTGTTGGAGAACCTCTGTGCACAGATTATAGTGACTAGCTATGACCCTGACCCCACCAGGAAACGGCATAGTAAAACGAGAGCAGTCCTGAATTTGCTTCTGCTACAGCTTTGTTTAACGGCTAGCATGAAACAGGAGGGATCCCTAGTGTGTTACCCCAAGCACTCACAGAAATGTATGGAAGTTAGCATTCACTAGTTCTTTCTAACATACTTTTAGTGAAATGAATACCATACTTACTTGTTTTTAAAATGTATCTATGGCTCTCAGAAGTATTTTAAGGGTTCCCATTTACACCTTGGAAAAATTATTGAAACTCTGTAGGATGCAGAACACCACTGACTATTGGTACATTTCTGTATCCAATTCAAATTTCTGGTGTTAACTTGGTTCCAAACCATTTAGGACTTTATAGGTTATACAAGGAGTACCTCCACCTATACAACCTTACCTGTATGTTGAGATCAGCCGTGCCCACCAATAAGATCAGCAATAGTTGGTGGACATGAAAGATAAGACCTCCTTGGTGGTAGAATTCACAATTATGGAGTCCCTTCCCAATTCAACAACATATGGCTCCTATTACGTAAGTTTTCCAGTGAGTCTTCAAAATACATTTGTCATGTGATTTCCCCCCTAAGAATATATGATAGAAGCCTGTGTCTCTAAGCTGCTGTCTTAAAATGATTATATTATGATTTGGTGATTAATATATCTTGATGTACCAAGATTTAATTGTATATATTTCACTGTGAGAGCTATGCCTTAAAATTAGTGTCCACTTGTGGCCCTCAATATGTTTTGCTCTGTAATTCTGATAATCCTCACCATAGGCTATGCTAGTTAGGGGTGATGGAAAGGCCAAAACATCTTCACAATTTACCCATTTCTGCCCTAAAAGGAGTCTTAAAATATCTTCAATAATAAAACAATAAAATATAGCCTAAAATAGTCTCAACAAAAGTTAAAAGGTTTGGGAAAATGCATTGTTCTTGGGTTAAAAGAAGAATCACAGATTGTTAATACAGTTGTTAATTCAGACATCACAACAACATATAGTTCATTGACAAGCCACAACCAATCACACTCAATCTTGAATGTGGGTTGTGTGAGTAGGTTCTCATGACATGGCAACACACCATAGGTAACTAGCCATTATGAATTGTCAGTTGTCTATATATCCAGGTCGCTTTCTGCAAGAGTGCTTTATTTTTTAAGGAACAGTCACTCTGACAACTTATGGCTTACTCTAGATGCTGCTTGACCCATGATGGGTTATAACATAGTTAGAACACAGGATAACAATTTCATTATGAATTGCAGGAATCAGTTAGGAAGTAGTTTGGCAAGAGCAACAAAACCTCCTTGCCACCCTGTGGTTTCACCCTTGCCACTGCCAGTCTCTCTGCTGATGCTTAAGTGGCACTTTGGAGTGACCATAACTGATTTGCTACCCTTAAAAAAATTTGTAGCTCAGAAAATTGTGCAAATTTGTTCATAATTTTTATAATGTTTGGTTGGTCTTTGGTTAGTGCAGACTTATTGCTGTCTGACTGCAATCTTGCTTCTTTAATTTCCTTGTATGTTTCAATGATAAAAGTGAGCAGAGAAGTAGAGTAGGTAACATACATGGAAAGTGATAAGGAGACTGCGTGAGGCTGAAATTTACCCACAGTTTCTAGGCTCCAATTGCCTAGCTTGCAGCTGAAAAGCTCTGGGAACTGGGAAAACAGTAAAGGAGGTGCACTGAAAGGTGGTAGGTGACAGGATTTCCCCCTTGATACTGTCATCCTTTGGCTTTTAAGTGTTAAACTGACACTACTCAAGGTCTTCCAGCTTTTTAATACCAAGCTCTCCAGTGACTCCTGCCCTCTCCATTTCAGAGCACTTACTGCTATGGTTATTGCAATTCTCTGACAGTTCTAAACAAAGAAGTTGAACAATTATGGTGATGATTATGTTGATCAAATAGCATTTATATCCCACTTTTTTTCTTCTTGTGGGAAACTTAAGGCAACTTACATAGCTCCATTTTTATCTTCACAACAATAACCCTATGAGGTAGATTGGACTGAGAATCTGTGACTGGTTCAAAGTCATCTAGTGAGCAGTATGGCTAAGTGGGAACTAAAACTTAGGTTTCCTGGCTCTCCAGTCCAACCTTTTAACCACCATACCATACCACACCACACCGCACTGGCCCTTTCAATAGACACACATAATAGCTGGAATATAAATGAAAGGGAATTCTGTATCAGATAAGAGCACGGAAGAAAATGGAGGGTGAATTTGTGCACCCACAGAAACTGCTTTATTAGTTTTCAACTGACAGTGTGCTCACAACTCAACAACAAACCATGGGCTTTCTTCATGGATCGTTTGTGGTTAGGAAACCACATTTTGGGGTTTTCTTAAGCACATCTGGGTGCATGCAGCATAACCCACAAACCCACATTCATATGAACCAATCCATAGTTGGTCAGTGGCCTCTCAGATTAGGCAATGTTCTTACCAAATTGAAGATATTCTATGTGGTGGTGATGTTTCTTTGAGAGAAATATGAGAGAGGTAATCAAAAGGCTTTGATACAATAATAGATGGTTGGAATTCTTTCAGAACAGAAATACGTGGTCTTGTTTAATAATGAGATTAAACTTTCTGTAACACTATTGATTTATTTCAGTATACCATAGAGAGATGCTTTTGGAGTGTTAACAATCTTTTCTATATTAAGCCAACAGGTGGTTGGGAGAAAAACAGGGACTGCATCTCTTCATAAGGTCACCATTAAGACTGATGAAAATGATGTGTCAAAACCTTTGCAAATTTCTCATGAGCCACCCCTTCCAGCTTGTGATTCCAAACTAATTGAAAGAGCAATGAAGGTAAATTTCATCTGAGGGAGTTGCCATATAATTTTAATGATTATTTTTCATGTTAGTCACCTAATAGAAGTAAAACACAATCCATCACTTTCTAGATTCTTTCAGAATTCTTTCAAAATTAACATTTTGTTAATTTCTTGTCATATACAGCTGTTAGAATAAATTTCTAGGAGTTGAGTCAGTGGTTAGATGTTTTAGTAGTTATTTTATGCAGTTTCACAGAGGTTAGGGCAAAGAATACTCTAAAAATTAGCAGTTCTAATTTCTCGAAATGCTGTTCATCCCCGCTGCCTCCTTTCAAGTGTTTTCTAGGCTGCTGGTACCCTTTCCAAATGTAGTAGGATGGCCAGATAAAATACTAACATCTTGGACGGTATCCAGTGTGTCAGCTGCACCTATGTAATTGACATAGCACAAGTATGAGCATCCTCTAGAGAAATGCCAGTAGTGTAAGCTGGCATGATGTATTTCCTGAAAAAAATGTCGCACCAGCTTACGTTATTAATGTTGTGTTAGAGATCACTTAGTCTAGAACCATGCTGATTGTGTAAGCATAGTGGCCTTCTTGGGTACTGCTCCTTGATACAAATGCAACCAAGCAGTGCCTTTTACTGTTTGGTAATGTTATGTCTGTGCTAATTGTCTAAGTGAATCTGAATGAAGCATAATTTACAGTGAGTTTGGTGACTCAGGCATGCTTTATATCATACATGAAAGTGTTTTATGCTAATGTTTCCCTTATAAAGTTTTCCTATTACCTCCAAAGTGGCAAGTGCCCCAAAAGGCAAGAGAGAACAGTTGTTTTAAAGCATTCAAACTTTTTGAATAGGAGGCCAGTTGAAAGTCTGTGGTGACTGTCATAGGGTCGCTGAGGTGGGGGTGCCAGGGGGTGCGGGCCGGTATCGGGCACGTGTGGCAGTGGCTCGCTCACTCAGAGATCTCCCAGCGAGTCCAAAACCATCTCTGAGCGAGCAAGCCACCACCTTCCCGCCAAGCACGTATGGGAGGCAGGTGGTGGCGGCAGCTTGCTCGCTTGGAGACCATCTCCGAGCATACGGGAAGCAGGCGGTGGTGGCTTGCTCGCTCAGAGACCATCTCCGAGTGAGCCAGCCACTACCTTCCTACCCGCGCTGGGAGGCAGCAGTGAGCACGCTTGTACGGGACGCAGGCAGCGGCTTGCTCACTGGGAGACCATCTCTGAGTGAGCAAGCCACCACCTCCCCACCTGCACAGCAAGCGTGTGCGCAGGCAGTGAACAGCGGCGCAGGCCGGATGGATGGCCATGGCAGGCCAGATCTGTCCCGCGGGCCGTACTTTGAGGTCCCATGCTTTAAAGCCATCAGCAAGGATCAGTAAGATTAAGGCAAAGGGCTGTTTAGGATGCTTAGTCTGGGAAGCAAAGCAGACTGTTGTCAGGGGTATTAATGACGAAGAAACTTTGGAAGTGTGAATCGTCATGGCCTCAGCCATCATTTCCTCATCTAAAAATACTGCAAGATTTATGGGCTTGCAGTGAACAGTGAAGTGAATTCTGCAAGGGGAAAACAAGAACAAGGAGCAAGGCTTTGCAGATAAAATGCCATCTCACAGGCCACATGTATGTCAAGCTTTTCCCCACTCAGCCCAGTTTTCCAAAACCTGCTCAGGAAATTTCAGGTACAATGATTTTGGCGTTCTGCTTGAGTTTTTAAGTGATGGTTTGAAGTTCATTCCCCACCCTCCCAAAAAAAGTTTTAGGCATAGCTGGATTTACTCTCTTCCCTTTTAATCTCAGATGTTTCTTGCTGGGGGTGGGAAATCCCCAGACCTGTAACAGGATTTCTTTACAGCTGTTATTTTGACAAGAGTTTTTGACAGGGGTATATGTATGCAAACATGTCCCTGTGGAAAAATCAGATTAGCCCTGACAAAAAACAATTTTTAAAGAAAGTCTGAGTCTTGACATCTGGCTGTCAAAACTGTGCTTCCTTAAAATGAGTGGCTTGCTCTTTTCTACCTTAGTGTCCCAGGAATTGATGGGAAAAAATGCAAGACACTGAGGAAAGCTAGATCCAACAAAAAAAAAAAGATCATCTTGCCAGGGAAGGGGTAATCTACTGGCCAACCCCTTTCATGAGCAAAGATCTCTCATGCCTTTGCTTTCTTTGATGGCTTATCTTTTGACAGCTGTAGGGGAAAGCAAAAATAAATAATAAACCACTTGCAGTATCTCTGGGTAATGTTCATGGTTTGTGCTTGTTGAACTTTGATAGCAGATACCTCTCAGGTCATTGTGTAAGCAAAGTTGCCCAGTATGGATTCCTAGAAGTGCACAAATGCAGACTGGCATAAATCTGACACTTTTTTAAAATGTAGAAAATGCACAAAATTCTTGTGCTTAAGAATAATTAAAAAGAAGCAGACTGATGACAGCTTTTCCAATGAGCTTTTTACACACGTGAAAAGGACTGTCACTGGCTGTCAACCTGGTGATTTCAAAAGGTGATCTCAGGGGAAAAGAGAGGGAAAGAGTAAGAAGTCACAGTGAGTGAAAAAGGACTTGTGCTTGTGTGTAGAGGGACCACTTCTGCCTTAGCTGCCTAGTCCCCAGGGATACTCAAGTACTTGGCAGGGACAACCCATGGTATGCCTAACCCAGGGGAAAAATCCACCCTTGTAGCTTATTTCTTTGGTGTGTCATGTGAGCTGTATATAAAGCAACATGCTGTATTTAAGAAAATTTTTAAGCAAGCTTAGTTTTGGGGAAGACACTTGACATATAAAGTCATGTAGGGGAAACAGTGCCAGTTTGTTTGGGCTTTTATTGAAATCTCCCTTTACTATTGTGAGATTGTTCCTTTTATTTAACATCACTATTTTACAACTCTAACTTTTTTTTTTTAGATAGACCACTTGTCAGTAGAAAAGCTTCTGATAGACAGTGTCCATGCAAGAGCACATCAGAAACTTCAGGAACTGAAAGCCATTCTTAAGAGTTACAATCCCAATGACAACTGTACGTGACTGTTTCTGTATTAATGTTGAATTGTGGGGAGACATTGCCCTGTATTTTTCCTGTGCCCTTTCTTATCTTAATCAAGCAGAAATACTGCAGGCGGTGAAATTCTGCCAGTTTGCCACTGCCTAAGCTAACCAAAGTTCTTTAATACACTCTGAACTGAATGTGTTTTTTAGTCCAATCATTGTGTTGAATATGCCAAAGAAAACCAATAAAGCATTTTAAAAAATTTCAGGGTTGGTGCAGGAGAATGAATGGCAAACATTTGCCATCAGCTTAGGGAGTCCTTTGGACTAGTTAATGTGGAATATAACTTAAATAAATAAACAGACATTTCCAAATTTTATGAAGAATATGAAATGATAGATATATTTCATAACTAGAATCCCTTTTACTCCATTTGGTATTGATATATAACACTTTTCAAGTGCTAGTTAATTTTCAGCTAAGAGTAGTGTTTAACTTTTTGTTTTCTTACTTCATTTGATATATTTAATTAAATGGAGTATATGTTAAATTTTACTACATAGATTCCACCAGTGTCTAATTTGGGGAAATCCCTTCTCGGCCTCCTGCACCGGAGCTCACCCAGTTCTAGGAGGTTCTCCTGACTCTCAGGAGAGGCACTGGTGGGTCATCGCAGGGAGGTGGAGGAGAATGTTCTGCCAACTGCCTTCCATGAATGCTGCCTATAATCTAAGCAACAATGTACTTCATAGCAAAAAATGACCAAGATATGTATGTGCAAATTCAGTGGTTGATGTAAGGATGATCAGCTTACTGCTTTCATACAGCAAACTGTGGTTTCTCTCTCCTCCCACCCAGCACAGATACAGGCCTTCAGACTCAAAGCTTCAAAGGTCTTGTGTTGTTGTTGTTGTTGCTGTTTTGTCAAAATACAGGCAGGTAACAGTGCAAATAAATCATGAATAAACCTTGGTTCTGGGTTCAGACTTAACGACAAGCCATGGTTTATACAAGGCACATTTTATATGCTTATAATAAATCATGGGTTCTGCTTGATTTATAGCTGATTATCAAATCATTGTTTGCAGTGACACAACAAGCCAAATTTCAACAAACCACATAATGAGTTAGCATATGTGAAGCAGGTCTCTATGTCTAAACAAAGTGCTTAGGAACAGGGCAAAGATGACAACAATGGTATAACTAATTTTTTTGTTTTTAATTAAAATGATCATATTTGATGTTCACCATAAATGTAGATTAAATAAAATAGCCTTCATGCAGCAAGGCTGTGCAGCCTATATTTTGTTGCACCTTGTTTAATAAACTTTTGCACTCAATTTAGGAATTCTCAATTGTTTAGCTTTTATAGAAACAGCTCTCCCCACACTTGTCATCCCTATTCTGGAGCCATGTGGTCGATCAGAATGCCTGCACATTTTTGTAGACCTTCATTCTGGGATGTTCCAACTAATGCTTTATGGAATTGGTAAGTAAATAAACGTTAACCCCTGAGATGCTTCCTTCTAAGTACTATGGCAATTCATAATAGAGGTTTCAGAATCCAACTGTTTCTTTGGCCTTGAAACTAAGGTGAAAGAATTTAATTGTAGTGTGGCTGGTAAGGAGGGAAGTGTGTTGAATATACAGGGATCAGTATTGATCTGCAGTGAGTAACTATGTAGTACACTCAAAGTGCAGTGCAACATGAACTGTAAACCATGCCAAAGGAAGTAGCAATGGCTGACAGTTTAACTGGAACCAGAGAGTGTGTGGTACATTTGTGGAATGTATTTTACAAATAGAATGGACTGATTTCACTGATCTTATACACAGAGATATGCAGAAGCCTCTTGTCCATGCATGCAACTCTTTCACAGCATGTCTCAATATGTCAGAATGTTGCTAATTAACCAGCTTTCCTGTTCGGACAAAATCAGAAATTATGGTAACAAGCCAGGACCCTAAATCCTGCTCTCTTAATTGGTCACAGAGAAGAGGTGCCAGGAATTGAATATTATATGCAGTGTTCCATGGAATAATCTACTGTTAAAAATGTTCTGACTTAGAGGTAGAGGTACTATTAGTAATGAAATGTGGTACTGAACAAGTCATTGGTATAACCCAGTGCAGCATTGCTTGCAGTTTGCAGCACCAGTTCAACAGGAAAAACTTGTTCTTTAAACTTTATTTTAAAATCTAACTCATTATCTAAGTGGTAATTTTATTGGCTGCATTGGGTTGTTACTTGGTGGTGCTGGTGGAACAGATTCCCTCTCTCTCCTGCATACCCGAAAATCTACTCTAGAGATTGGGAGACCCCACCCCAAAAAGCAGATTTGGGAAGCATGTAAGGTGTGCATGGAGAAAGAAGAGAAGAAATAGTGTACAAAAACATCTGTAGCCACTTGAAAAGTTCCTGCTCTCCTACTGCCACCAGGACGACTTCACTGCCTCCGTGGTAACCATAGGGCTGTTACATCATTAGCCCAACACATCCTGCAGTATGCGTTCTAGAATTTGCAACAAAATGAGAAGCTGGAGGTCTGGAATTGTAGAGTTCTCTGTTGCCTGTAACTCTTTTGTCACAATCTCATTCAGATCATTTCCTGGTGAAGTTTAGATTGGCAGTTGTTTCTTCCCCCTGCATGGGTGATCCACTCCATCCATATGGAAACTGAGGGATTTCTGAATGCTTTTGAGGTGGAGTGGGGAATGGATTCTGGCTGGTGCTTCTGTAAGAGCACTATTCTCATTCTGGAATGAGAATTGATGGCATGATTGCTCTGAAATGTCCTCTTCTGTGTAGTATAGTTCAACAACTGAGGCGTACTAGACAACCTAGAGCAATAAAACAAACTAGAATAAAATAAAGAATAATAAAATAAATAACTAGAGAGCACTGTGTAAATGATGATGACCTGCCAAATCAGGGAGAAATGACTGGGCTTTGTGGCACTGAGGATGTCAGAATGTTCCCATTCATGCGTACGTACTTCAACTGGGGTACCCTTACTGTGGTGGTCCAGGCTTCAGTAACTTCCAGTTTGCATGATTGTAATGTGTTGTATATAGGGTTGACCTTGAAAACGGTTTTGAAGCCTCAACTAATGCAGAATTTGACAGCTAGAATTCTGGCTGCTATAGCCCTGTTGCACCAATTCTGAGTGAGTCACATTGGTTCCCTGTGTAGCCAGCCAAATTCAAGGTGCCTGTTGTTAGCTTTAAGCTCCTATATTAACTTGGCAAATATCTGAAGGAGTAACCTGCCATTCTGCCGATGCATGAAGATCTTAAAAGGAAGGTCTTCTATGAGCATGTTCAGTGGGAGAGTACATTATGCATTTAGAAAACAGAAATCATTCTCTGTAGGGGCATCTTATTTTGGAATGTGCTCCCAGATAAGGTGCAGTTGGCTTGGGCTTTGCCTTCTGATGCCAAATCAAAATGCTTTAATGGTTGAATAGGTTTTATGCCTCTTATTTGCAATGTTGTCATTATATTGTACCTTATTTTAAAAGTAACACTTTAAGTTAACACTTTATGATGTAGATAATGTTATTTTAAGTAGTAATGATTCAACTTTTTCTGTAGACCAGCAGACACTGGATGAGATAGAGAAATCTGTCAATGATGACATGAAGCGAATCATTACTTGGCTTCAGCAACTCAAGTGAGTGAGCTGTGGTATCGTGAACTTTAAATATTTCCATATACGTAATCATTTTATATGTAAGCATTTTGCCTTATACTTTCACCTATACTTGCTGTTCTCCAACATTGTGAAGGTATCATCTACTTCTAGAGACTCCATTTTTGTAAGCTTTCCTGTGATGTACCCTACCAACCTCAGCAGAATGTGAGAACATCTCACATTCTAAGAAAATCCATTGGAGAATACTTTAAAACTTCAGATTATTAACTACTTGGAGTAGCAGCTTGTTTATTCCTATTATATAATAGGCATTTTCTAAATAATCCAAAATCAGTGAAAACTGTATTGCATAACTTAAATTTCCCAAACTGTAAGGACTCTATAAACAGTTGCTAATGCTGGGTTTATTTTGTCCATAAAGAAAATAAGTCTCTATTTCAGTAATTATGACAATAATATGGGCCATTAGGATGTTATGTGACAGTGCATCTGGACTTACTACCACATGGTCACTTGCCAGAGAGTTGCAGCCAATCCATACTTCATACATGTATGACTTGGGCAAACACATTCGTCACATTCAGATGTATAGTTTTAATTGTACACATAAAATAACTTGGATATACCCTTAAAATCATTATATTTACATAGACTATAATGCATCTATATAGTGGCCTGATAAGATTGTTGATTTTTTAAATTAAAATTCTGTTCTGCACAATTGCAAAGAAGTAAAAGTAATATACATTTATGAAGGCAAATCTTGAAGGCAAATTGACCATGTTATGTTTAAGTACATGAATACCATTGTAGTTGCATGTCCTGGGTTTTTTATTTTTGTTTTCAATTAAGGTTTTGGCTTGGACAGCAGCGTTGCAAACAATCAATAAAACATTTGCCTACAGTCAGCAGTGAAACACTACAGCTAGCTAATTATGCTACTCACCCTGTGGGAAATCTCTGCAGTCACAAGCTCTTCATCAAGCTCACTCGACTTCCACAGTACTACATTGTAAGTGATGGATATGTACTTTTTGTTTGAATTGGTCCTCCGCATAAGCAAAGATGGGCCATTTTTGTCATGTGGTGGATGTATTGATAGGCTAGCTATGGCTACCACTTTGATCTTTAGTTTACCATTCATACTTCTGACCAGTGGCATGTCACCCATTCTGTACCTAATGATTCCCTCCTTGCAGCAGGGCAGCCAGCCAGCCAACTGTCATTTTATTTAGTAGCAATTAGTCTAACACAGGGGATGGCAAAGCTCTGTATTCTTGGGTAGGGGACTAGTCTTTGGGAACAATACAGCATAAATCATGGGTCCTCAAACTACGGCCCAGGGGCTGGATCCATTCTGCCATGCCCATTTATCCATTCCACCACGCCCATTTGGATCAGCCACACGCGCACCCATGCACACACCCGCCGCCACCCACCTCACCGCTGCGCGCAGGAGGCAGTGGTTTGCTCACTTGGAGAAGACGATCTCCAAGCGAGCAAGCTGCTGTGTCGTGCACCCACCTCGCGGCGCATGCCTAGCCCCGCCTCCCCTTGCTGCCGGCGCCTGCCCTTGCCCCACGCACCCCGCCCCCACCTCAGCATGCGCGCCCGCATGCACCACCCCCACCCCCTCACCGGCCCCCGCGCATGACTAGGCACCACCTTTCCAGCGCCCAGCACCCGCAGCTTTCAACTGGCCCCCTGGTTAAAAAGTTTGAGGACCCCTGGCATAAATCCTTCAGTTTGATTTTTATTTTTAAATTGACAATTTTTAAAATGAAATGAAAATGAAGAAAACAGGCTTCATACAAAATAAAGGATTGGGATATGAAATTTTGGAATCTATCTGTTTTCTACAGCTTAAAAAATTAGTGAAATAAAGGCAAACTTTTAATCATAGTTTGATTTAAAATTCAGTAGAGTCAATAGGACCTGTTTCTTCTGGAGCTGTCAGTTACTCAGAGCAATAGACAGGTAGGCAAGTAAAATCTTACTCATTTGGCTGAGTTTCAGTGAGTTATGTTAGGCTCACATAAGGGCAATTGTACAGGACATTAAAGTCTTCATTTATGAGCAGCAAACTTTCCCCATAGCACTGTGACCTTTTGACACTCACTTCCATTTCAAAAGTTCTTTGCTGTGTGGCATTTGGAGTGGAGGAGGTGTGAGGGGAAGACCACAGTTCTGTAAATACAAGTTCTAAGTTCCATTTGGCATCCAGAACTAATTGCTTATAATTGCAAGATGCATTCATTGAAAATAATCCAGTGCTACATCACATTTCAATGAATGACTCCTTTTTTTCCTCATTTGGAAGAGATTTTGAAATATAATTAATGTGTCCACCAACTAGTTTGTTCTCCGCTATGTTCATGAAAATATTGCAGTTACTCTGTTAGCTAGAACATGTAAAATCTTTTGCATTTTGTACTTGGTGTCATGGTTCATGCATAATAGCAGCAAATCTTAGGTTAATGAACTCCTGATTTGCTAGAACATGTGTGAAGTACATTCTGCCACCATAGTCAACTCCTCATGAGGCTGATTGGGGGTTGCTTATGATGTCTCAACCCAGATACTATAGCTTTCTGAACATCACGTAGCACCCCAATATTTCAGTCCCTAAATCTGAAGTGGGGGAGTGGGGGTGGAATGCATCCCACATGTAATCCCCAAAAGGTTACTGATTGCATCCCACATGTGCTGCAACACATTGTGGCTTAATTAACTCATGGTCTGCTGCCATTACATGTGAACTGCTCTTTTGTGATATTTCCAGGTTGTCTTCTGTGAACTTGATTAGCTCTTACTTCTATCATAGGAAGAGAGTTCATAAATTAATATCTGAATATTTTTGGACTACCTCAATTTAACTTCTTACCAATCTAGGTCGTGGAGATGTTTGATGTCCCCAGCAACCCCACACAGTTGGAATACAAATATTACTTTCTCTCTGTGAGCTATGCTGAAGGAGATGACTACCCTGCTACTGCAGTTCTGCTTCAGCAGTTTAAACCAAATATTGAAGAGCTGGTTTTGGACACAAAAAGTGGGAAACATGCAAAAGGTGGCACAAAGCGTAAGGTATGGGTTTGTTAACTGGCACTGCACTTGTTTTAGTTTGTAAGTGGAACTGCTTAGTTGAAGGTGAACTAATAAATATTGGGGTGTGTCTTGGTCTTATGGAAAGGCATTAGCTTGGTCAACTGCACTTCTCTTGCTATAAGCCAGAAAGATTAGAAATTAAGTTGTTGCAGATAGTACGTTCACTATTTAACCAACTGTACAAAAATTACCTTGTTTTGAAATATAATCTAGTGCAATTTATGAACCAGATTCTGTGCAGTTTGGTTACTCCTACATTATTTTAAGAGAATTCTCCCAATCTTGAATATTACAGTTATACTTAACCTCCCTGGTTTTATCTCTAGAGACAATGGCTGAAGGAGAGATTTAGAGGAGCTGTTTATTGTATGATACTTTCATCTAGGAATTTAACTATGTGTTTAGTTTCAGACTTACCATAGAAATGCTAAATAATGAGGGTAGAGGTCTGGTCATTTACTGATACACCAATAAATGACTTCTTCATTATTTGGCCTTCTGACTAAGAAACCTTAATCAATTAGTCAATTCATGGCACAGGGTAAAATCCAGAGGGGCACTTGTACCCCTACCAATTTTTTCAGTATCACTAATTGTACTGAGCAGAAATACTCATTTCTGAAAGGAAACAAGTTGATGGAACTTGAATGTTTTCACACTTTCTGGAGCTTCCTCTAGAAAACACTTAATCTCATTTGTAAAAGTGGCAGTCCTGCGTATGCAACGCAATTGACTGCTTGTGCACTGGAATCAACTGAGAGGAAAAGAATGGTCAGAGATATAAACTGTTGGATACCTCAGTTAGGTTTTAATCTAGTAAATATGCAAATAGTTGCCTGTGTACAATGCAGTAATTTTGAAAAAGGCATCATATTTAATTGTCAGATGGCATACTAGCTTAAACTATTGGCTAGATGTCTGTTATGTTAGCACAGTGTAATTTATGTTAGTGCTCATTTCAACTTGGATGCTGTTCAAGATGCTACCTAAAATAAGAAGTTCCATGCTGTAGCCCTCATGCCTGTTATTTAAAACTTAGACCCATAATCCAGCTTTATAACCAACAGAAATTGTAGCATGCTAAAAGAGATCATTGTGTTTTCTAGTTGTCTGGTGATCCATGTCCCACAGAACCCAAGAAACCAAAGCGGTCTGGAGAAATGTGTGCCTTCAATAAAGTTCTAGCTCACATTGTAGCAATGTGTGATACAAATATGCCATTTATAGGACTTCGCATGGAGGTAAGTAACAAAAGGTTTGCATTGAAGGTAGAGCTGTTGGATTGACAAGTCTTTTTAAAGTAGGGACTTTGGTGAGGAGCCCAGACTTCGCTCAGTGAGAGCAAGAGATGGGAAGACTGTGTAGCCAAGAGAAATGAGAGGGACTCCCTGCCTGAGCTTTCTGTTCTAGCTGTGCTCAGTACAAGCCCCATTCCAGAGCCCCAAAAGGAATAAGAAACATTTGGTCACAGACCAAGAATTCCAATATTCTGGAGAACAGGCACAACTTCATAAATCACGTTGTTAACCCACAATAGGTATTAACTACCATAAATAGCTCTTAATACTTAATCAGTTTGATGAGGGTTTGTGTGACTGACTAGGCTTGGGATTTGCAAATAATTTGTGCATTCATTTGAGGAATGCTTAAGTAGAAAGAGAAGGAATGACTGAGAAGGAAAGAGACCTATCCAATGCTGTGAGTAAGCAGTGCTGCACTTCCTAAACTCCTAGAGTCTGAAGGTTTTGGCAATTGAATGCTCCTGCAGTAACCTTGGGACACTTTGGGAATGAGGGAGTCAAAATGTCAAAAATAATTTGTGGAATTAGCTTGTGTTCAATCTGTTGAGTGGCTTTGCTTCTCAAAATGCAATACGTTGGGCTCCATCTGAATCAACACTGTATGTTATGAATCATTGTAGATCATCAGGTAATTAAGGGTGCAGTCCAATGTCTGCTTAGACAAAATTAAGCCATACAATTGTTTTAATCTGTTATGTCTGATTTTGTATGTTAATTTCTATATTATGCTTTATCTGTCTTTGTTTCAGTTATCTAATATGGAGATCCCACATCAAGGAGTCCAGGTTGAAGGAGATGGCTTCAGTCATGCTATTCGTTTATTAAAGTAAAAAGATAGTGCTACACCTTAAGTAATGTGTACAGTATTTCATGAGTGAAAGGGAGGAAAGTATTTAATATGTAACATGCTGTAAAATTAAAACTCAAACCTTTCTCCTTATTTTTATTATACATTTGTTCAATCTTACAAAATTTTGCAGAGACTGTACAGCTTTTAAGGATTATAAATTATCCAAAAGGATAATTAAGCAAAAAGATTTTGTTGAAGAACTTACTTTATATGCTGCTTAACTGGCCAGTTAAACTGAGGTACAGCTTTAAGCTATCCAAAGAAGGTTATCTGAAGCTTATTTTCTGTAGCTTTCACAGAATCTAGTTTAGTTTTATGAACTGCCATTGTAGGCATACTTGGAAGAAACTCTCCATTTCTCTGTTTTATGTTGAATTTTTACAACCATGCTCACCATTTGCATGCTGTTTTTTGTGCTGTTTTATAAGACCATGAAGGCAGTATCCATACAAAAGGAAAAGGAAACTTTTTAAAAATCACATGTTTTTATGAAGTTTAAAGTAAAAGACTAATAAAGGCACACAGAACTAAGGTGAGCTAGTCTGGAATGGTGTTTCTCATGCAAGTCCAGTCTTTTTGAAACTTCTAGTCTTTCCTCAAAATTTCTGTAACTGTTATTTTATATTTATATCCCACCATTTTACTTCAAGGAACTCAAGGAAGCCTACAAAATCCCTTCCATTTTATTCTCACAACAACCATGTGAGGTATGTTAGGTGGGGAGAGTCAGTGATGGCTGGAGTCTCCCGGTGAGCTTAATGGCCAAGAATTAGAATGCAAGCTTCCCAAGTCCCAGGTCAAAACTCTAATCACTACATCGCACTGGAACAAATTATGTGCATTATATAAAGCCTGCTGAGGCAAGATAACTTGGGACATTTAATTCTGATGGTCTGGTGATTTCATATTTCACATAATATAATTAATATTTCTGTTACTATACTATTAGATTGCACACAATCTAATTTACTATTTAAGTTGAATAACACTGAAGTTGGAAAAGTTGCTGCAAAACAAGACCTGTGTACAGTTTGATTATTTCCCTGCAATGAGTCTTTTTTGGTACAAGTTAATTATTCCCATGAAAATAGGTAGACTAATACATTTTGTTTAACTATAGTACTGAAATAAGTGCACTGTCACGCCTTCTTCCTTTTCAACAGAATTCCTCCATGTAAAGGTACAAGTGAAGAAACCCAAAAGGCTTTGGACCGTTCCCTTCTTGATTGCACTTTCCGATTGCAAGGTAGAAATAACCGCACATGGGTGGCTGAACTGGTGTTTGCAAATTGCCCGCTTAATAGCACTTCTTCCAGGGAACAAGGTTAGTTTCACAATTATCTGACATGTTCTCCATTTTTTCTTCCATCTTCTGTGTGTCAGAGTAACATGACCGCTCTCATTCATTTTGCAGGACCGACTCGTCATGTTTACCTGACGTATGAAAGCCAATTGTGTGAACCTGTTGGTGGCCGAAAAGTAGTTGAGATGTTCCTCAATGACTGGAATAGTATTGCTCGATTGTACGAATGTGTGTTGGAGTTTGCCCGATCTTTACCAGGTATAAAAAGGCATTTTTCTTTATTCTTGTGTTGATATAAAGCTCTACCAAAACAATTTATACTGTTCCTGACTTTTTTCTTCCCTGTTCCCACCTCATTTGATCTCTTGAAGAAATACCCAGCCATCTAAATGTTTTCTCAGAAGTCCGTATCTACAATTATCGGAAGCTAATTCTTTGTTACGGAACTACAAAGGGAAGCTCAGTAAGTAGTGTTTTTTGTTTGCTTGCTTTTGTCTTAGAATTTTAAAGTTTGATCAATAGCACTTCTTGGGTGCATGCTTGTTCTTGCTTATCTCTTTTAAATGCAGTTATAATTTGTCCTTAAGCTGATCCATAATAATGTTAGTTAGCTCCAGTTAGTTCATCCTATGCATTTTTGTATGCTACAGTTCTTTAGTGGAGTTATTTTTCCCATTCTCTCAGTTTTACCATTGTCTGTTGAAGTTTACAAACCAGCTTAACTGCACTTAGGAAGGGGCCTCTTACCCCACCCCTTTACAGCAGCTGCCTGTGCACTCCCTGAAAAGGCTTTTCTGAAGATCAGGGGACTGTAAGGAAATACCTGGAGTGTGGGGGCTGGGACATGCAATATGCGGGAGTAATCAAGGAAACCTGGGTGCCGGCAGCTAGCAGCAAATTGCATGCTTCCTTGTCCATGCTCCCCTTATATGTTTTGCTTAATGAGTGGCATATTGTAGTTTGCCTTTATCTTTAAACTTGCAACCTATGGTTTGTTGCTTGATGAGATGGCAAACTGTGCTTACCACAAACTAGAAAGATGGTGCAAGGAGGGGGAGAAGAGCATATAAGCAGAGGACTTCAAATATAGAACATTAGCTTCTGTTTTAAAAACCTACTTCAATTCATACAAGTCTGCTTGCATGTATACAGCATTTTTTTATTTGTTTGTTTATTTGATTTCTCTCCCACCTCTTCACCGGAACAATTTGAAGCAGTTGTTTTTGTTTGCCATTGGATAATTTGTTCTAATGTTCTTCTTTGTATTTATAGATCAGCATTCAGTGGAACTCTGCTCATCAAAAATTCCACATATCATTAGGAACAGTTGGGCCAAACTCAGGTTGTAGTAACTGTCACAATACTATCCTGCACCAGCTTCAGGAGATGTTCAATAAATCACCAAATGTAGTCCAACTGTTACAGGTGACTCCCCTATTTTCCTTTGGAAGAGAAACATTTCATTTGAAATCCAAAAAGTACTGAGAGATGGACTCTGTTACTGGTCAGCAAGTGTTTCATCTTACAGAACAGAACAATGACTTGGGTGGGGCTGTAGAAGGAGCAAACTTGTAAGCTCATTTATGCTGTTAAGCAGTTGCTCTTGAAAACAAAATCTTGAGAGAGGAAATCATGAGAACACTTAGTGCGCAGTAAATATGCTTGCAGGATCTCATCCAAGGTAAAAACAATTTAAAAGCAGCATTCATGCTGGCTGTAGATGAAGGCTAGGTATATTTAGCTGGCTGTTCTGAAGCTAAACTACTCTTTTTTTTGCAGGTTTTATATGATACTCAGGCTCCATTAAATGCTATCAATAAGCTGCCAACTGTGCCAATGCTGGGACTGACACAACGTACCAACACTGCCTACCAGTGTTTCTCTATTCTGCCTCAGTCACCCACGCACATCAGGCTGGCCTTTAGGAATATGTATTGCATTGATATTTACTGCCAGAGCCGCGGGGTTGTAGCAATTCGTGATGGAGCATATAGTCTTTTCGACAACAGTAAAATTGTGGAAGGCTTTTACCCAGCACCGGGACTGAAGGTGACTGTTATTTGTACATTTATTTCATGTTAAAATTAGGACAAATATTCATGAACTCCCACTGATATTTCAAAAAGTGGAAAAGCCCTTTGAGTTGGGCTTACTGTTGAAGTGCTGAATTCATTTTTGTGCTGCCATGTTGTGTAGTACTAAGGAAATTAAACACTCTTTTTGGGATATAATGGGGTGCTGAATATTGGACAGTGATATACTTCAAATGTCTAGCTTCCTGTGAATGTTGCTACTTAAAGCCAATCCAGGAATGTCCCATAGTTTAGCAGGGCTAAACATCATGATTTTATGTATGAATTCCCAGGTTCATTCTCTGGCTTCTCTATTTAAGCATTTGTGTAACAGGGCTAAATGAAACTAGGTCTCTGGCTACAGATTTTGGAGAGCTGCCACCAGGAAGAGTAGACCGCATTGGGCTGGATGGGAACCAGTCCATGATTAGAATGTATTGGTAATTCACATTCTGTTTTAAAAGTGTGTGCCATCTGAGTTTTCTGCCTTTTCAAGTGCTATTTTGGAATAGAATAGTAGATGTTACCAAACTAACTTTTCTGCTTGCTTCTGAGCTGGATAAAATTGTATATATAATTTTAAGCCATTAACTGGCTGAGTTTAGTAAATGTCTAAATTAGAAAGGATATTGATTTATCAGTGACAAAGAGCAATTTTCAGACTTCCAATTCTATTGTGAAATAAAATTCACATATTCTATGTTGTGCTTCATATTCCAATGTTGGGAGAGTTAGTGAAACACTGTAGTAATGATTATAGAATTATTGAATGTTGCTAATTAGATTGTTTATGTTTAATGTCTCGTGTTTAGTGGGAAAATAAGTTAGCTCATGAATGCAAATACTCTATATCCACAGACATTCCTGAACATGTTTGTTGACAGCAATCAGGATGCACGAAGGCGATCAGTCAATGAAGATGATAATCCACCATCTCCTATTGGAGGGGACATGATGGATTCATTGATATCGCAACTGCAGCCTCAGCAGCAGGTATTTTGTGTGCGGGTGCATATACATGCACAAACTTAGAAACCCAAGGAGTAATTATACACTAAGCCTCTATGGTTAAATTAAATAATTTGGCCAGTGTGTCTGCCTTGTCTAATCTGGAGCGATGATAACAGCACATGAGGAGGAAATACAAGAAGGGCTGTAGCTCATCGGTAATGTGTGTTCTTTGTGGGTGGAAGATCCTAAGTCTGTTCCCTGGAATTTGCAGGTGGGGGTAGGAAAGTATCTGTCAGAAACTCTGGATAATTATGCCATTCAGCAGTGACAATACTGAACAATATGGACATTAGATCTGATGAATGAGTTTAAGACAGCTGTTTATTTGCATTATAGACAAACTGACCCATGTAGGAAGGAACTGACTGTATTTGGACAGTGTACTATTTTTTTTAAAGAGTAAGTTAGAATGGATGTTGGTCTAGGGCACAGACTTTACACTTACTGCAGGCTAGAAGCACTAGAGGACTGACTGTATAGCAGACCTGAAAATAAGATAAAGGAAACATTGCTCTTAGAAGCAGAGCCTGATTATGAAAGACTGAACAGAGTGCTTATGAGTGAATGGATAATAGTCTTCCATATTTCTTCCATATGATAAGAAAGAAAATATTACTCTCTGAACATAGAAATGTATGTTCTGTCCTTGTTATGATTGTAATTACCAAATTTATCAGCGTTGGTCAAGTCAGATGCCTACATTAGATCTCAAGGATGTAAAATTGTTGAAATTTGTATCTAATAGCTTTCTGGTTTCAGCAATCTTCAAAACAGACGGGAGCACCGGGGGCTTATCCTTTGACATCACCCCCCACATCTTACCATAGTAATGTTACCCCATCACCTTCCATGTTGCTCACACAGTCCCCAGGTAAGATGGCTTATATTGAACATTAGCTACATTGAAATAATTATACGTCTGTTTAATAAGCCATCAAATGAGCGAATCTCATGGCACTGTGCATAGCATCTTTGTTCCTCTCCCTGAGTGAACAAGCAGACCAGGAAGTCTTCATGACTTCATATTCCTGAAACATGAAGACCAGGAAGCTGTAGTTTCCTGTGACATCTGAACTGGGAAATGATGGTAAATGGAATGAGTTTATATTCTGGTTTGTTTGGAAGCTGTAAGCCACATTTTCCCAGTATGAATGTAAGGGGAAACTGTAGACTTTGTAGGCTTTGTGGCCTGCTCACTCACTTGAAGGGAGGAGCAATGCAGCTTTGTATGGGGGTCACAAAACTCATTTGTATTTCAGTAATTAAGCTGAGGTATCACTGCACAAGTGCACTGATTGAGAAGAGCAGTGAGTGGCATTTCTAGGTCATTCATGAATGGAATGTGATGTATTTTGTGTTATGAACAATTCTTCATATAACCATGGCTACTTTATCAAAAAGAATTATTTTCATGCTTTGAAAGGAATAATTAGAAAGTTTATAACAACGGGTGTTTTGAATTTCTCCCTTTAGGAACGCTGCATGCTGCAAGCTCTCCAAGTGGTGCATTAAGAGCACCATCACCGGCATCATTTGGCCCAACTCCTTCTCCTTCATCTCTTGGAATCACAATGGGTCAAAATACAAACTTTGCCAGCCCACATGGTGAGCTTATGACTTTTATAGCCAAGCACTGATTACAAAGCAGTGTCTGGGAAAGCTTGCTACTCTCTTCCTGGCTGAATGAAGCCACTGGAATAACAATTACTTCGCCTGGCTTGTACTCCTGTGCAATCAGGATAACCTGTTTATGACAAAATACTAGATTGACCACACTGTGACATTGCAACCTAGAAAAACTGGAGCAAATAGTGTTGAACTCCTTTCCTGGGGATGGAATCTAAACCTCTTGACTCACAGATACTGTGCCGTTGTTGGAGAACAAGCTTTATCAGCAATATTGATCTCTTCCAGGATAAAAATATTTTGAGAAGAGAAGAGCATAGATCTTGCCCTCTTGTAGATCTGTGCAGTCCCTTTTTTAGTTAACTCCAAATTATGTTTTTTTTAATGTGTTGTGTTTCACATAGGCTGTGCCCCAGGAAGTCTGTGGATGTTGCACCCTGCTGGAGTATGGGTAGTACTGATGTTTTTATTTCTGTTAGTGACACTCAACTTCGTTGTAACTTCCATAGGTACTATAGATCCTAGTTCACCGTACACAATGATGTCCCCCAGTCAACGTGCAGGAAATTGGCCAGGCTCACCTCAGGTCTCTGGTCCCTCTCCAGCAGCTCGTTTGCCTGGAATGTCACCAGCCAACCCTTCCTTACATTCCCCAATACCGGATGCTTCTCATTCCCCACGAGCTGGAACAAGTACGTAATGTCAACAGAAATAATCAGTTCTATTCTAGCATCAGTGAAGCTGAAAGTTTGGAGTGGAATAGATGCAGTACTCCCAGCAAGCAAGCAAAATGACCACCAATAGCATGCCTAGCCTGTACATTTTTATATATTTAACATTTTAAAAAGTCCATCTTTTAAAAAAAGAATTCATAGACTTTACATTAACATTTTTTAAAGATTTAAAATTTACACAGGAACTCATGCAGATTTCAAAATATAAAACATCTTGGTATAAAACACCAGCTTCAATCACAAATAGTATATTTTGGCCAGTTTTTAAGTGGGACTCTGACATACTCCTATTTGTGACCAGTTGGTGTGTTATACCAAAATATTTCACATTGTATAATATGTTTCTATTTATTCTACAAACAATTTAAAATATTTTTTCTATTTAAATCTATGAATTATTTTTAAATCTTCAATTCTCACAATTTTTGGCCCATATCCTAGGTTTTGTGGGAATTTCTCTAGCGTATAAGTGTGTGAATAATCATGCATCCCTAGGCAGGAGGAGTAAAGTGAGGTTGTTGGTTTCTTTTTCCCAATTTCTTCTAGGTTCCCAAGCAATGCCAACAAATATGCCACCACCTCGTAAACTACCTCACCGTTCTTGGGCTGCATCCATACCCACAATTCTCACTCACAGTGCCTTGAACATTCTGCTCCTGCCCTCTCCAACTCCTGGGCTTATGCCAGGGTTGGCTGGAAGCTATCTTTGTTCTCCACTTGAACGTTTTCTAGGATCAGTTATTATGCGAAGACACCTCCAAAGGATCATCCAGCAAGAGACGGTACTTACATCTCACAATGTTTAATTCCTTAGGTGGTCACTAAAGTGCAAAACTATAATATTCCTCTACCTTGTATTTTATATGACTTATTTACAAAACTTATGCTTCTTGAGAAGCTAATGTTCTTAGGAGCTGAAAAAGCACATGAAACAATATGTATCATTCTACATTTTAAGAAAAGTATGAAATAGGGTGTAGTATAATAACTATGTGGTTGGTTTGCCACACTGCTGTCGTTTTGGAGCAGTGATTTTTAAATTGCTACCCATAAGGAGTACCTTCTACAACACTTCTGTCACAGCTCATTGGATGTGGAATCCTGAGCACTGCACAGAATTCTAGGGTGCACATTTGATTTGTGTTGCTTCTGTTAGGGGTTGAGTGTCACCTTTTGCAAACCAAGAGTACACTAGATTGTCTCTCCATCTTCTGAGGTGTTCAGATGCAGTTTGTCCACCATTCCAAATCTTCACAGGGAGGACTCTTGAGTTCCTAAGCATGAAAGCTTGAAAACTCCAGAGTTTTTAATTTGGAAAAACCAGGACCAGTGCTTAGCTCAGTTACAAACTCCACTAATTGCTTAACATCATCAAGGAACTATCAGGAAGTTCCCCCATATGTAAAATAGGGATCATGTCAACATATCTGAAAGTTTAGTGGGCAAAACTTGGGGACAGACACTAAAATTAAGAAGGTCTTTCTAAGGGTGGAGAAAGATACTGCTTTTTAATCCCATGGGTGAGGAGTTGTTATTTAACTTACTAGAGGCATGAATCTAAGTACTAAATACTAATCTAAATAATGATGATGGCTACAAGAGAAAGCAAGATGAATTTGTAAACAATGGGACAGAAATAATGGTGTCCAGAAGCCATTATCTCTTTTTGCCCTTGCTAGTTGTGCTGACACAATTCTGGATTCAGATTCTTTTACCTTCTTTTCTTTTTTCTTGAAGAGTGGTAGAAAAAATGTTTTCAGAAGGAAAGAGCATGAAGTCTGCATGCACAAAAATAAAGTAGCAAAGAAAAAGGACAAAGTGCTCATATTCCCTTACTTTCATCTTCATCTCAGATCTTAGCTGGTGAAGCTAAAAGAGACAAAATTGTGTTCCATTAGACAATCTAAGATTGCTGTTATACTGAAGCATCTGGAATTGACTTGTTGGGAGAGGCAGGAATGCTGACTGAACTGATCCATTGAGTTACTTGTTAAGACTGTTTCTTTACACCAAAGAAGTGGCAGATCCTATGGAAGGATTAAAAAGCACTTTGCTCATAGAGGGTGGGGCAGGGCTTCAGACACACGATAAATCCTCCTGAGTCCGTATTAGGTATATTCAGAGGTTAGTGAGTGGTATATACTTGATGAATTTGAAACTTCAGGTAAACTATTTCTATAAAGCCACTCCTTGCCTGCCAGCTTGAAGCTAGCTTTAATTCTCTGTGAGACTGATACTTGTGGACCACAGAGAAGAGCCATTCAAGTTCTGTGTAACCAACATTAAGATGCCTACAACTCATCTTCAGAAACAACTAGCTATCATACTTCAGAGTATAAAAGTGGTATAAAGAGCTTGTGTTTGCTGTTCCAGTCAGATGTATTGGCTTTTTTAAACAGCTACAGCTAATCAACTCCAACGAGCCAGGCGTGATAATGTTCAAGACAGATGCCCTGAAGTGTAGGGTTGCCCTCAACCCAAAAACGAACCAGACCCTGCAGCTGAAAGTATTACCTGAAAATGCAGGCCAGTGGAAACAAGAAGAATTGCAAGTTTTGGAAAAATTCTTTGAAACCAGGGTATGTACTTCATCTTATTAGTCATTTTAATTCTTGATTAATTGCTTTTGGAGTTGATAGAATTACTCTTGGAAAATATAAATGGAATTGCAAATTGGCAAGATTACTATGTAAACAAAGATTCAGTCTACAATTCACCTTGCGAAATTGAAGGGGAGGGAGCCTGTGGGATTTCATAGGGAGCTACGAGAATGAAGTAGCAGGAGGACTGTGATTGTCGTCAGAAGGAGATGCAGAGGCCCTGGACAGATTTTCATAGACAGAGCAGAAGTCAGTGGTCCAGGCAGAGGCAAAGAGACATGAGTGAAAGGTGAAGCGTTCCTGTCCTCCGGCAGCTACACACTACATCATATATCCTTTGCGGTCTTAACTAGCCCCACTATATGTGATTCAAGCTGGATAACCAAGTAATGCAGGACATTGTTCTAGCAGTACAGTAGCTCCCTAGATATTTAATGTGGTTTCCATACATCATATATCTTTGCATTGACATGGGACAAAGCCATGCTGCTTGGGCTACTTAATAACTGGACCATTAAGAGTTTCCATTTAACTTTCTAGCATTCGTGCTGTAGAGGAAGTTCTGATTCCCAAAGTTTCTTGTGAGAATGGCCTTATTCCCTTTGAGAATGGCCATGCTGGAGCCAGTGTGGTGTTGGACTGGAGATCCAGGTTGTGGTCCCCACCTAGCCATGAAACTTACTGGGTGACCCTTGACTATTCAGTCACTTTCAACCTAACCTAAGCTCACAGGGTTGTTATGGAGATAAAAATGGAATGAAGGAGATCTACTGTAAGACGGGTTTCTCACAAGAGGAAAAAAGAAGGATATAAATTCAGTGTGGTGGTCTTGATGATTGGAAATATCATCTTTGTACTCCTGGTGGTCTTGATATCAGTAGGGCTTGTAGAATGCACTCAAAGTCAGATCAAAGAAGCTAGGCATAATATGAGACTATCCAAAGAAACCCTGGTAACATACTGCATTTATTTTAGGTCGCAGGGCCTCCCTTCAAAGCCAACACTTTAATAGCTTTTACAAAACTGCTAGGAGCACCAACACTTATTCTCCGAGACTGTGTACACATAATGAAACTAGAGCTGGTAAGTTGATGTTACCCTTATTACAATTTTTTGTCCAAAATGGAGACAGGATTAGTTATCTTTCTATCTGTGGCATTTTTTATTAAAACAGTTTCCTGATCAAGCAAGCCAGCTGAAATGGAATGTACAGTTTTGCTTGACAATTCCTCCAAGTGCTCCACCAATTGCACCTCCAGGAACACCTGCAGTTGTACTGAAATCCAAAATGTTGTTCTTTGTAAGTAGGCCAATTGACTCAGATTTTACTATTCTTTAACTGTATGTATTGTAGTAGTAAGGAATAGTCTGAATGCAACTTCTATCAGTCTTCAACTACTGCTTAAGCAATAATCAGAATATCTAATAGTATGGGCTTCATTGCACATGGTGGCAAATCTTGAGTTAACTGTCCCACAATTTGACATGGTACATATTGCTTCTGCTTCACATTATCCATCTCCAATTGTAGGTTGATTTGTGATGTGCAAACCTGAACACTGTAAGGTAATCACGGGTTAAACAACCAACAATTAACATAAGAACTTTTCATAGGTTAACTATAGGCTATTCAACCATGAATAACCAAAGACATCCAGGTGCCCACATGATTTAATCTACAATTGTTTTAATCATGGTTAATTAGGTAAAGCAGAAGTAGCATGAATCAAGCATGTGCTATAGCAAATTGTGCATTAGTTAATTCACAATTTCTCATTGTTATGTGTGTTCTAGTCTGTGTTATCAATAACTACTATTCAGTGGCCTAGTTCATGTATAACATAATCCATGCTGTGGGTTGTTTAATTCTGGGTTGTCATGTTGTCTGAACATGTTTAAATCACTCTGGCTCACCACCTTTGCCAGGTTACAAAGGTGGTGAGCAGAGTGGTTTAAACAAAAAACCTAGCTGCTTTACGGTGCTCCCTTGTCAGATTTGAGATACAACAAGAGAGTGGGTGAAAGGGTGGGAAAACAACAGCACAGGGATTGAGAATTTATTGTAACTTCACTGTTTGATCATCTGCCAGACAAATTCTATCAAATTCTAGCATGGATTTGTATTACGCACAAACCACATTGCTGTGAACTGACCAGAAAACTTTGGCTGTTGAGTGGTATAGAAATCAGGTAAATCAACCAAACATGCTATTGAGTTGAATTATTCTGGATTATATACAAAAGCCAAAATATAACAAGAGCTATGTGTTGATATTACTGCAGAAGACCCAACAAGCAAAATAAGAAATGTGAAGAACCAGTGCCTTAGTACAATTTGATTTGTCATTTTGAAGTAGGTCTAATTTCAGAGAAGGATTTTGGTAGCCTTTTATAGAAATATTTTCCCTCTTTGGGGCTAATAAAAGAGGAAATTCAAGTTACTTTACTACTAAAAGGTCCAGTTTGTACGTAATGGCTAGAATGCCCATTTCTGTATTGAAGGCAAGTTGCAAAATTGCTGTGATTACCATTGTGTGTTTTATTCTCTTTACAGCTTCAGCTAACACAGAAAACTACAGTTTCTCAGGAAGCCATGAGCATAATCGTCCCAATCATTTATGATATGGCTTCAGGTACAACGCAACAGGCAGATATTCCCAGACAGCAGAACTCTTCGGTTGCTGCTCCCCTGATGGTTAGCAATATTCTAAAGAGGTTTGCAGAACTGAACTCACCACGGCCAGGTACTGTACATATCCAGTAGGTCAAATCTTCTGCATGCTTAAGTGGGCTGAGTCCAACTTTTACACTTTTTAAATTGCACTATACTGTTAGTGTTACTGTTTTTATCAATTTCGTTAAAAATGATCTTGAAAACCTGGTTTCAGGTTACTGCATGTTAGTGAAAATATGTTGAATTGACCTTTCTGTGGTGTCAGAAGGGTTGTATTATTAACACAACATGGACTTTATGACTTTGACCAAGGAAGTGTAATGCACTCAGTGGGTTGGCTCATAATGCCGTAGTTATACCTACACTAATAAGATTTGTCATGTGAGCACTGTGTATATATTACTGTGAAAACTAGTGCTTGTTAGTCATCTTGCACTGTAGGACTATGTCTTCCCATTTCTTGTAATTTTACTGTTACAAGGTTAACTACCTGTTTTCTTAATTGTACTCCTCTGAGGAAAGTTTGGGGCCAGGAAGATGGAACTTTTAAATTTCTCCATAAAGTAACATGTTACGGCTCTGGCTTATACTTTCTGTATCCCATGACTAACATCTCACCTTGACTGTATCTTCTATCTTGTGCTGCCTGCTCTGTTTCTTGTGAGAAACTTTTGTATTCACTTTCACTTTTCCTTTAATAAAAGTGTTAGAAACTTTTGAAAAGTGATATTTTTTGGTGGGGGGAACAGCTTTATTTTTGGGTATGAAATCTACCCAAGACACTAACTTCTTCACAGCAGATTTTCTGCCCTCCAGGAAAATCCTTGTTAAGTGCGTGTTTCAATAAATAATTATATTGATTTTAAGTTTTTTAAAAATGCTAGCAAATTCCTAGTGTAGTGTTATAGCATAGATTTGAGCACTGACTCTAAAACTGAACTGTGTGGATATACATACCATTTGACTACACTGAAGCAGCTGATAGGATTGAGGTGGTGTGGATGATGCCTCTTCAAATACTTGCCTTTACTTTTGGTAACACTCTATCCTGAACCCCTGATCGTCACTGAGGTAACTGCAGTTTTGGGAGGGTTAGCCATGTGTTTTCACCTGGGTGTAAAATGCAAGGTGAGTTATCCAAAATGCTGTGTATTGTTGGGAGCTGGAATATCATGCATGTTATCCATAATGTGTGCATGCTCCAGAAAGCTACTTAAGCACTGATGCTTGTGGGAGGGAAATGCAGTCCTAGCTTTCATACATAACTGAACAAGCATTTTCTTCACTAGTGAGGTCATCTGGTTCTACAATCCATGGGGCTTTACTGAAAGTTTAAAAAAACGGTTTTGGAATTGGCATTTGTGGTTTTAAACTTGCAATATCTTTTGTTGCATTATTCTAAATATAATGGCATCAAGATAATAACTGTATGCCTTCTAAACTGAAGTTTAGAGAGGACTCCATGGCTACTTTTCACTGCTTTGTCATTTTCAAAATGTAAGATGAAGCACAGTACACATGTAAGTAACACATTGTCTGCTAGAAACATTCCTGTGTAATAAAATCTTCACAAAGATGAGGATCCTCATCCTCCTTAAAAGGAACTAACCCCAAAACCAGACATTAGTGATGGGTTTTTTTCTTTTTTCTCCCTGCAAGAGAGTCTGGCTGATCTTTGTCTTCAAGTCTCTATCAATGAAACTGGATTGCTGTTAAAAATGTAAATAGCTTTTATAGAATGGTGTACTGAGGATACCAGTTGAATTCCTGAGAACTGTGACATCAGAAGTGTGCTGTCTAATTCTTAGTACTAACTTTTTCACCTGAGGACTGAGAAAGACTATTTTCAGGATGGAGAACACTTTATAAATTACTCAAAATGAGTGCCTGCCAACCAGAGCGCTGAGTTCGATGGTTAGGGCATTATCTTTCAAGAATGAGAAGCCAGGGCTATCTTCATTTTCTGCATTCTTTTGGGAGACCTATATAACCAGAGGGGTGATTATAACTGACCAGTTTGCTTGTTTTCCTGTACTTAATGGTGGAGGATTTCCTACTAATACTAACTTTTCCTAATTAGTAGTAGATTCAACTAATAGTGGTGGTTCTTCTCTAGTGGGAGTGCATAACACATAGTTACTGCTGCATAACTTGGTCTTTAGTATTGTAATTGATTGATAACAATGGAAGGGTGGGCCAGCCAATTTTATTGTCTGACAACCATCAAGAGCAATGCTAGACTGAGAAATGGGCTCTTACTGAAAGTGTTTCATGGCCAAGCAAAGTTCTGAATCCAAGTTGCTTTGCTCGAAGACCTACATTCTGCACCACTCATGGCTGTGTTAGCTGCATGAGGGGGCTACCTTTGTTATATCTGGGGAATCCCAATAGCCTGGCTATTGTAGAATGTGACAATTCTAAACATGTTGACTTTTATTTTCCATACTAGCTGGCTGCACAATATCTGGTAGGTTAGAAGAAAGTAGTTTTATATGGCATTGAAATTACTTGCTTGTTGTCGCATCTGAGTGTAATAGTATACATTTTCAGAATTTAATTGGGGTACAGCTCATGATACTTTGAAATGAATTTTGAGTAAGTTTATCATTGTCATAATTCAGCTTATTTCTCCAGCTAACTTGTGCTTCTTTCCCTTGTTCTAGGTGACTGTACAATCTTTGCAGCTGTCCGTGATTTAATGGCTAACCTTACAGTGCCCCCTGGTGGGCGTCCATAGGCTATTTTTAAAGAAAGGGTAAAAATGAGAGGAAGCGGCAAAACATTGAACTAAAGCCTTCAGTTATATATAATGGAAGAGACGTTTTCACATGTCATATTTTAAAAAGAGCTAATACAATGGATTGGCCTACTTTCAGGGACACACTTTCATCAGATTTCTTTCTTTCCTTTTGTACAGCACTCTGTATAAAGTTTTAAGGAGACATTACAAACTTGTAATAGATTTATGTATCCGCTTGCCAGTAAATAGAGTTTATTCTGTTTTATACTACAAAGATTATGAAAATGCCAAATTTGTTTATTTAAATGGTTTTTCTTATGTCTTGGTGTAATCTTTTTTTAAAGGCAGGTCTGTCATTTTTGAATACTGTAAAACTGTGACAAACTTTATATTGAAGCTGTATTTTAATATGACTGCTTTGAAACATTTAAAATGGGGCTTGTTGTAAACATGTTCCCAAAAAGCAATATTTAATAAACTAGATTTTAAAAAAGTGTGCTCACTTTAAACATGTACATTTATGTGTAAGAAAGTTTTCTTAAATAACTGTCTTTGGGATGATATCCTGCTATATTCTGGGTTAGTTTCAGTGACTAAAAGCACAAATTCCTTTGTGCATCAAATTAAGTTGTAGGATATTGTCAGTTCCTTTTCAACCAATTTATCTTTAGAACTGGGACTAAGGAAATAGAATGTATAAGTGTGTGTACATTGTCTTTTGCTGATCTTTTTGCTTGTTATATGGAAGTGTTTTACAGTGTAGGTTACTCCCCAGAATGTCGTACAACTAGCTCAGTGCATCCAGAAGCCCTTCTGAGCAGAATCTGAGCATGCTTTTCAAAAATCAGCATTCTATAGTGTTTGTAAAGCAAGTTTAAAGCTCAGAGAAAGTAACAGAAGGAGTTTTTCATTGATGTGGCTCCCTTCCATGGTGGGGAGTGGTGGAAAGGAGGCAGAAGTCCTATTAAATGTACCCAAACTGCATCTAGAGTAATTTTTTCAGTTGTGATCATTCTGTAAGTTAAAGACATTGCATGGAAGCTATTTGAAACAGCTTCTGGGGTGACTTGGAAGAATGAAGAGCTTTACATAGCAAAGAGCGACCCATCACCAACAAGGAATCCAGCTTAATGAAAGAAAAGAATTCTGTCTTATACACACAGATGAAGTAGTAGAGCAACAGATTATTTAATAAACCCAGAGTGTTTTTTCACTCCTTTCCCAGACAGCATTTCTGAGTGCTTTAGACAGTATTAAAAATACAGAAATATCTGTACAGTATATTGCTTAAAAAGGGTATTGCTCTGAGTAGTTAGCTAGGTGCTCCTGGGAAGCCTGCAAGTAGGATATGGAGACAAGTCTTGTCTCCCATTGTTTATCCCCAGCACCTGATATTTAGCAGTATATTGCCTCTTAACCTGAAGTTTCCATTTACTCTTCATGACTTTATAGCCAAATTCATGACTTGATAGACAAAGTCATAAAATAGTTCTGTTTTCCTTTTAAAACCAGTGGCCTTTGCTGTTAATCCTGTGGTAAGTAATTTCATAAGTTAATTATGTATTGTACTTTTGCCTCTTGCCTGGATCTACTACCAATCAATTTTATGGATCAACTTTTCCCATTTCATTTCTTTGGATAGAACGCCTGGTGTCCTCCACACCATACATAATTGTATTAACCTCAAGCATTTAATAGAATCAAATTCTGTGTCAAACTTTTAATAAAGCACGTTGGCTTTATCTAACAGTGAAGGTGCTTCAACTCCATTTGTTTGAAGCATCCACTTCTGTTGTACCTTTTCAAACTCTATATTAGGCTTTTTGAGATAATCGCAATCCCTATTATGGATGTTCCCAGTGACCTAATCACAGTACCTATCCTGATCAGAAACTGCCAGTTCCAACCCCATAAATATATAGGAAGGAACAGGTGCATAGTCTGGAGGTGTTCCTTGATCCAGCATGGTCTTCGATTGCTACAGTACCTTTTGTCAACTGTGACTGGTAAGGCACCTATGACCATTCCTGGGCAGGGGTCGCTTAACCACTGTGGTCCTAACTTAGATTACCGTTCTATATTGGGCTGCCTCTAGCATTGGAAGCTGCGCTTAGAGCAGAATGCTACGGTCACATTGGTAATGAGAGTGGCTTATCAGTAGCACACGACACCAGTGCTAAGGGAACTGTACCTCAGACTACCTGTACCTAAGGTTCCTTAGTTTCTTTAAAAAATATATTTTCACAACCTTTTTTTCCCTTTTGTATTATGTTTGTGTTATGTAAAATAAAGTGGAAGAAAGTTGCCAAGGGATTTTGAAAAAGTTTAACACATACATTCAAACCCACAAATGTATCTATCTTTCGATCTTTCAACACTCTATAGGAGTTCAAAACAGAAGTTATTCTGTACACCAGGGGTCCTCAAGCTTTTTCGACGGGGCCAGTTGAAAGGTGCCGGTGCTGGCGCGGGCCGGAAAGGCGGTGCCAATGGCACGGGCGGGCAGGTGTGCCCACGCGTGGAGGCGAGGGTGTGGCGTGTGGGCGTGGCGAGGGTGTGGCGTGCAGGGGAGGGGAGTCTGGGTGCACGGTGAGGAGGCAGCTTGCTCACTTGAGGTCATTTTCTCCGAGCGAGTCCAAAATGATCTTCAAGTCGCTGCCTCCCCGTGGGTACGGGCACGGTGAGTCCAAAACCTCTGAGGCGGGCTGATTAATGGGCATGGCGGGCCGGATCCGGCCCACAGGACATAGTTTGAGGACTCATGCTGTATTCCAACAAATTTTCTAATTGCTTTAAGTCCTCAACTACTTTTTAAAGTACTCCCTTTTCTATCCCATTAATAGTGCTGGGTATAATAGATTTTCCATCTATCATTAAATTCTTCAACTGCTCTTCTATTTACATAATTAGTTAGGTTCCTTAGTTTCATAGTGCCTTCTCTTTCAAACTCCTTACCAATACATATTGGAAAGACATCAACCGTTCTGCGGTTTTGCACCTGTCGAAAATTTATTTGTTCCAATGACTTTCCCAGAATAATGATCTTGCCTTCCTTGTTTTCATGCTATTATCTTTTAAGTTTTATCCTATATGCCATTGCTTGTAGATTGCTTAGAAATTTCTTTTTAATTTAAGCAGTTCATCAATATTGATAAGTCAGCCTTGCCAGCCATTTCTCCCACCTAGTTTAGCCTTCTGGCTATCGTGTTGGTGTACTAACAGCAGTATCTAATCCAGCAGTGTCTAATCCAGCAGTGTCCCTACCTGAGCTGACAGACTTCATGCAATGTTAACATCCATGCTGAAGGTGTCTTAACTGGGCTGTCTCAGCATTTCATGGGTTTCATGACAACCAGAGGACTGGCCCAACATGCCATCAGCCCAACACATGTAGCATAGCACACTCTAGATCTGTGTGGGTGGGTGGGTAGATTTTTTCTCCCAGCCAGGCTCGGGATTAGTGATCTAAAGATCTAAAGGACCTTTGAATTGGTCCCTTTGTCATGGTCAGCTTACTGCCTGCTGAAATTCAGACTAACAGTGGCTTTCCCACTTTGCAGGTGTGGGGGACCCCAGAGGCTGTTGGATCCAAGCAGTTTCCAGGGAACGTTCTGGCTGCTGTGGCTGGTGGTCCTGTCAAATTCCTGCTTAATCTCTAGAAGACACAGAAAACCTGAGTGGTTGACATGATTGCTCTTGAGTGCCCTCTCTGTGGTATACCCCAGAGCTGAGAGTGATGAAACAAATTGGGACATGGCTCGAGCGCAGTTAGAGAAAAACTCCTACTGGAAACAACCAGGTAGGAGCCCTGGTACATGCCTATAGTTGACTATATGGGGAGATAGTGAGAACATCAAAGAAACTATATCTGACTGCCTCCAGTCAATCTTTGCTTTTCACTCAAGAGAGCTTCCTCCTACATGCAGGCTCCAAGGATATCTTGGAGCTGTCTAAGGTCCATTGTAATATATTTGCTAGGCACTTCCAGGACAAAATCTCTTACGTTCACCAGGTAGAATCAGGAGGTATATCCAGAGCATAGCCTGGTCAAGTTTTTTGTTCTTTTGATGAGGAGAGGAATTAAAACTGTTTGAATAAATCAGTTTATGATGCTGATTTATTTTGACTAATCACGGTTAGGGTTTAACATAGTTAGGGTTTGAATGATATATTATACTACAGTTTAACTGAGCTAAAGCCACACTTGTGGACAAGTGTTGGGAGAGCACACAAGCTTAACTATGGCTCATTGTTGTATGGTTTAAGAATGCCTGAATGTATGCATCCTTAAGATGTGCTCATCATTTACCAAGTTCTCAAACAAGCCTATGCTTCCTTGACCGCTCAGACTGCTGGGGGTCTTGGCAGAGCACTTGAACCTTTTTGTTCTACATATCAAAGCATATCATTCATATTTTTAAAACCATTGTTTTGACTTTCACATTTGAGGGGTGTTTCCACCAATTTGCAGAGGACATCCATTGGCCTAATGCAGGGATGGGAACATGTAGCCTTCCAAATTTTGAATTCCAACTCCCATCAGTCTCACCTACCATAGCCAGTGATGATGGCTGCTTAAGCCAGCAACAGCTAAAGGGCCAAAAGGTACCCACCCTGTTCCAATGTTATTGGAAGCTGCCCCGAGGCTTTTGCGAATGGGGCAGCATATTAGTGTTCCAAATAAATAAATAAATAAATAAAATATTGTATCTGTCAAGAGATGGATGGTAGATTGTCCCTCCTTGAAGCAAAGCAGTGTTTACTAAATCACATATCCTCCTTGCACACAGGTACCCTGCAGAGCTGTGATGTACACATATTGCTGATAATTGAAAATTTTCAGGACTTCTTACTATTATATTATACTTCAGTGTTGTTGTTTGTGGGGCCCAATCCACTGGATTTCACACAAGTGGAAGACCATTTTTGTTCATTTGTTTCCTGAAAAGCCCACCTATTTGTTTCATTTTTAGATTTAATGTTTCTATGACATTACTTTCTCCTCCTGGATTTTGTGATAAAGAGGAGAGGAGGTGCATATGCTGGCATCATTGTGAAACAATGTATGGAATGCAACTATTTAAAGGAGAGGTTTAAAAGGTATTTACCTCTGTTTCTTGTATGATTGTTTAGAAAAGTTTGTGCAAGCATAAATACCTGAAAATGAAAAGAGAAGAACCCAATAGGCTGTGTGGTAGTGATCTAAATTTAGTTAAATTTTAGGCTGCACACCGATCTGGACATGTCAGATTTAAGTCAATATGGCTTATTTCTGGATACAAATGTATAGAACTGCAGTGCTGGTGCCTTTTTAAAGCTCTTCACTCCTTTCCTGACCAAGCTAAGCAACTGCTACTCAGTTTGTAACCTAAAACACTACAAAGATCTCTTTTCCCGTTCTCCCCTCGTTCAGCACCCAATACCCCAATTTCAGGTCAATTCTTCAAAAACGTCGAGCTGGAGTTACGCTGAGAGACTGCAGTACTAGCACGTTAAAGTAACGCTCATGAACAGAGAACTGAGGAAAGCGGTATACTAATGCAATGCTAGTAACAGTAGCTGCTTCACCTATCCCTTAGCAAGGAGCGTTCCCAACCCGGGGGCCTCCAGGGGGTTGCACTACGACCCTTAGCAATCCCCGGCCAGCCCACGGTGGAACGCAACACACCCGGAGGCACCAAGGGCATGAAGAGCGTGCTGGAGGGCGGACAAAGAGGTCCGGGAGCCGGGCGCTTCCGCAGCGCTCCTGCCTGCGCGCTCGCCGGGAGCGTCGAAGGGCGGAAGCGCCCCCCCCCCTCGGGCGTGCCATGGCGCTGGCGGAACTGGCTGCTCGGCTCAACTGCGCCGAGTACAAGAACTGGGTGAAGGCCGGGCACAGCTTGCTGCTTCTGCGAGGCGCCCTGCAGCGCTTTGCCCACGAGCAGGTCCACGCCTTCCACCGGCAGCTCGTCGCTCGCCTGGCTCCGCTGGGTGGCCGGTGCAGCGGGCGTTGCATCCCCCGGGGCAAGCAGGTGAGATGCCGCCCCCCCCCGGTTGCGCCCCGCGGAGATGGAGGAGGAGATCTAGGCGGGTTCCTCTTCCACGGTGTGTGCAGACGCACGGGGGTAGCGCAAGGCTCTCGATTCATGCGTGTTTAGGCACAAAGCGCCCCACAGTTCCCAGCACAGCCCAGCCAGCCGGGGCATACCGGGATTTGTAGGGTTGCTTCTATGCATGTATACGACTGAGCCCTTACGCACCCTTTGGAAGCAACCTGGCACGCGTTCCCAAGTACGTGTAACACGCAGACCTCGACGTCTCTCTGCAATCCTGTCCGTGTAACAGCCTCGGGAGGCTGCTTCGTTTGTTCAGCTTTGACCGTTTTGCTTTTGCTCAGATCAGTCCTCAAGGGAGCTGGTGTGGGAGGAGAGTAGTTTCAGCAGCTGAGAGACTCAAGTCACGCGCCCTCTTTGTCCCCTTGGGTATTTTCCGGCTTAAATTCGTCACCGTGCAAGGAGGCCTTTACATTAACGCGCGCACGTGAAAGGCGCACCCGGCTCGCATCCGGTTAGGCGGCAGAACAAAGAACTTGGACTCTGCCTGTTGGAGCAAGAGGTCAGCCTGCGGCAGAGAGGAATGCGCCGGAAGAGACAGCGGGGCCCCCAGCCCCGTATTTCATGCTTCCCTATGCTTTTGCTATATTATATTTCTACTTGTGCTCAAATGCAACAAATCCAGCTCAAGCTTATCTTTAGTTTCTGGTGCTAATTTAGTCTGATTGCCGGACTTAAATTATTTTTTAAATACGAAGTGCTTGTTCATTATAGGTTTGTTGTTATTATATTACGTGAACCAACAGTTGGAGTGTTACTCAGCAACATGATAGCCCACACTCACATTCAAGAGTTGTGTACTCACATGTCAGGGTTGAGTATGGGTAGTTATTGACATGTGGGTTGCTATGTTTTCCAGCCACAATAACAAATCATAGTTGGTGAACCACAAACAGACCATGAAAAGAACCTATGGTTTGCAGTTGGGTTGTGCGCTGTGCATTGTTCATGGCTAGCAAATAGCCTGTTATCATGGCTGAGTTCAGATAACACTCTGTCTCATGTTTCACAATCACCGAAAAATTGAGGCCATTGAATTGTGGTGCTGAAGGAGACTCCTGTGAGTCCCTTGGACCACAAGGCGATCAAACTGGTCAGACCTAGAGGAGATCAACCCTGACTGCTCTGTAGAAGGCCAGATACTGAAGATGAAACTCAAATCCTTTGGCCACCTAATGAGAAGGAAGGACTCCCTGGGGAAGAGCCTAATGCTGGGAACAATTGAGGGCAAAAGAAGAAGGGGACGGCAGAGGATGAGGTGGCTAGATGGAGTCATTGAAGCAGTTGGTGTGAGCTTGAGTGGGCTCTGGGGGATGGTGGAGGACAGGAAGGCCTGGAGGAATGTTGTCCATGGGATTGCGATGGGTTGGACATGACTTCATGACTAACAACAACAACAACAACAACAACATGGTTGTCATGTTGTCTGAACCTAGTCACTTTCTCTTTTCCAGGGGTGTAGTAGAGCCAGCCTGTTTCTTAGGGACTATAATGTAATTCATCCGTCTCCTTAGGCTTCCCTGTTCCTTCTGAACTTAGCAGCAATCCTCCCATCAACTGGTAGGAAAATGGACTTTCCCCAGCAACACTGTGAACTCCTTGTTGTAAGGCAAAGGGTGGCATTGAATCGGCAATTATGATCTAATAGTTTTACAAAAGATGTATATAATACAGAGAAAGAGAGAGCTGGACTAACAATGCTGCTTGTGTTTTGGACTCTCCCAGGGGCTATGGGGGCTTTCATGATGAGTGCCCACCCTTCAAAACTATATACTGCAGGATCATGAAAACCACACCTATGAACTCTCATGCACATGTCAGATTCTATGGAATGTGCTTTGGAGCTGGAAACCTTATGAGATTGCTAATGAGACTGTAACCTCTTACTCAACCCAGCCTCTTGGTGGTAGTAAACAGCCTTATCTTTCATTCCTTGACTCTGTGTTAGGCTTTGTGGTAGGGCAATATTGCTGATTTGCTCCTCTGGGTTCCCCTTTTCGTTCCTTTTTCTGATGTTCTTTACTTAACTGTAATTTGTCAATTTGGGTGAGTAGAAAGTGTTTCTTTTCCTGTTGTGAACTTCTCTTATCCGGCCTGGTTCCTTGGGATTGAGGGCAGATTACACTTTGAGACTCCCTCTTGGGTAAAAGATGTGAAATCTCTGATGTAAATGTAGCATGCATATTTTAGGGCCACTTGCATTGGTGCTTTGTTTGCTTTGTAGTTTCAGCCTTCTTGCTCATTATGTAAAGAATGGAAGAAGGAGATTTTGAATCATCACACTCACAGAAATGGAGAGGTTCACTGGGGGAACTGCAGACCTTGGCTTTGGCCTTCAAACTCATGGGAACTTGCAAAGGTAATCCCTCATGGATCTTATCGCCTCAAGTAGATTTCAAATGTGGAGACAGCTTTTGTGAATACCTAGTTGCAGCTTCCAACATAGGAAATGGATGTAAGTACAATCAAAATGTCATGAAAAACATGTTGAAGCAATCTTGAAACATCAGAGCTAAAATGTTCCATCTGCAGTCTTGATTCTTTATTTTGGAAAATGGAATGTAATTTGGATTCAGGAGGTAGTGATGGCTTTATGATACATGTTACATGATAGTTGATGATACACTTGATGAAGGGCATCCCAAATGTGTCCTCCTGGACAGTGTAGAATGTTATCGAATGGTCATTTGGAAATACAGAGATGGTACATAAGAGTTTGCAAAGAAGAAAAACAATCATAGATGCTATTCAACCAGTGTTCTAATCTTTCTGGAAGCCACTTGCTGTATGCATTATGAAGTCAAGGTCAGAACTAGGAATTGCAGTTACAAGCCTTGCTTTCTATTTGTTAATCTTGAACTCTGATATAACAAACCCTTGGAAATAGTGTGTTACTAGCTGTTACAGAAACAAAAATGAAGATGTGAAATGAACATGTGGCATTCTTCATTGCATAGGCTTACTTGCCTCGTGGGAAAGCTGATAGTCCTGGCCCTGACAAGTGTGATGCATCAGCACTCTTGAACCTTTTCACCTTCTGTGATTACTTCAGCGACATTGATCAGAAGAAAATCAGAGAGGTAACATTGATGACTTGCTTGTGTTGATTCCTAGCAGGATTCACGAGTGCATTAAGCAGGTCACCACAAGTGATTGTTGCTTCTACCCGGCCCATGCACAGTATCCCTCATCTTTATGCATGAACTTGCTTCTTGTACAGAAGTAGCATCACACAGCAAAGTCCCAGTAGGAATGAAGGAAAACAAGCATCAACACTACTACAGTTCATGGATTGCTTAAGACAGAGAAGGGAAATCTCTTTCTTCCAGAGGGACTTCTTCAAGATTCAGTAGAAAGGAGGGAATGAGAGGAGTTGGTGGCAGCCAAAGTTAAATCTGACTGTTATGCTGACACATGGGTCCTCAAACTACGGCCTGGGGGCCAGATCCTGTGCGCCATGCTCATTTATCCAGCCCGCCTCCGAAGTTTTGGACTCGCTCGGAGAAAATGATCTCTGAGCGAGTCTAAAACCTCTGAGCCAGCGCAGGTGTTCTCTGAAATGGAGCAGAGGGCCAGCGCACGCACAGTTGAGCTTTTACAAGCTCAACTGCACTTGTGCTGGCATTTCCCCCCCCCCCCGCCCCTCATTGCATATACAGAGTGGGAGTACAGAGCAGGAAACGAGAGAAGGGCGGATGAGACTGAAGGTAAGAAAAAAAGGATTGAGGGTAGGAAAAAAAAACTTTTAAAATCTATTTTTAACTACATGAGCCACGTCCCTGGGCTGCGGGCCAAGCCACAGCTGCCTCACTGAGCCCGGGGGCAGCCGCTTGATGGCGGTGGTGGTTTGCCCGTAGAAGGCTGCCCTTGGGCTTGGTGAGATGGGTTTTGGCGGAAATGCAGGAGCCACGGCCTTCAATGGGGGAGCCACCACCCCTGTCGAGCAGCTGTCCCCAGGCTTGGCGGGAATGGAGCCAACATGTTTAATTATTTAATTAATTTTGAAATTTTAATTGATTTTAATTATTTTAAATTTATTTTAATTAATTTTTAATATGCAGTATGCATAGGAATTCATTCATTTTTTTCCAAACTATAGTCCATCCCTGCAATAGCCTGAGGGATAGTGAACTGGCTCCCTGTTTAAAAAGTTTGAGGACCCCTGTGCTAACATCTGTAGACGTATGAAAAATGGTCAGAAATAATAAACAATATTGATTGATTTAATTTATATCCCTCCCTTTTCCTTTCTTCATCCTCTAATTCCAAGTAAAATAGCATACCTGGAGGCAATTCAGCTGTAGATTAGAATAATTGGGAGCTGTAATAAAATGTTGCAGTATATCCTCACCTTCCTGATAAGAGTTATCTTCCCATTTCTAGGTGCCAGAATATGTCATTCCAGTCTCTCCCAGTTCAGTTTTTTTTCCTGCCCGCTGATACTGAACTTTCTCATTTTGTGTGTGTGTGTTTTGTTTTGTTTTGTTTTTTAGGGTTGTAGTTGTTGCCTCTAACTGCTGTTTTACAAATGTGTACTTTTACAAATCCCAGGGTTCCCTGAGCATATGGATATCTCCACTTGTTTCTCAGTGGACCCATTTTGTCGCTCTCTCTGTTGGTACCCACCTCCACAATTCACTATTAGGAGTGCTTGTCATACTTAACAGTGCCATGTTTAGAAAGTGATGAATTTTTCATACTATTCTGAAAGGCAGAACTGATTTCAAAGTACACTTCATTATAGTAGATCGTATATGCCTACAGATATAAAAGTACATGGTAAAGTACAATAGACTGAGGGCTAAGAAAGGCCACTAGTAATATTGGTGTTTATGGAGATTGGATTGAATATATTGACTAATATAAATTGGTAACCTGGCCATGATAAGTGCTTTCTCCTACAAAGCTTTCTCCATCAAAGGAGTGCAGTTGGCCAGGGTTTGTAGGGGTACCATCATTAGCATAATGAAAACAAACATTTCCCCAATTCACACACATTTTTTAACATAGGGTGGATACAAGAATTGGAATAGTTTTGTTTTCATTACATATTTGGATGGTCAGAGGAAAACTCATTTGGTGGGACAATTATATAATCAATTATAAATGTTGGCAGTATAGTTTGGGAAGAAGATATAGCTATCATATTCGATGGACATGCTCCCCCCACCCCTGCAAAAAAATAAAGTGACTGGATATCAACAGTAAAAGATATTAAGGACATGATATGCTATTTCTACTGGCAATTTTGTTTAATAGAGTCAGAGAAATACTTTGCTTATTTATTTATTTATTTATTTATTTATTTATTACATTCTTAAGGAGATCGATCCAGTCATTTGTATTATAACTGTAGACAAGCATAAGCATGCTGAGATCATGCTTTCTTCTGTTCTGATTCTGTAGGGGAAGAGATGGAGATGCCTCCTCATGTGCATTCTTTCTTTAGAGAAATGGGCCTTTCTAAATAACTGTTTGTTAGGAACCAGATTCTGCTAGAAAAGATGGAACAAAAGGCTGATTCTCCCTAGGTTGTCTTGTCTAATTGGATTGTGGCTCTAGAGCAGTGATGACGGACCTTTTAGAGATCGAGTGCCCAAACTGCAACCCAGAACCCACTTACTTATCTCAAAGTGCCAACACTACAATACAACCTGAAAACTGAGGTTTTAGTTTAGGAAAAACAACTCACAGCCAGACCAAGCAATTGTGTATGTATCCTTGGTAATGCACAGAAAGGCCATGTGAAAGCTCGGATGAATCAAGCCTGATGGGATGCAGATTGGGATGCCATTGCCTGCCGCCACTGCCCTATTCCAGCTGCTGGAGCGCTGCTGGGGCGACTTGGCTCGCATGCCAAGAGAGGGTTCTGTGTGTCGGCTGTGGCAGCCGTGCCATAGGTTTGCCACCATTGGCCTAACCCTACCTGGTGCACTCCCCTAACGATACTATAGGGCTAAAGTGCCATTAAAAATGCGGCGATTTTGAAAAAGCCTTCCTTGAGCCGCCTTTTCTGCACAGGTCATCATTTCTGCCCATTCTGAACACATTCCAAGCATCAAAATCCTGCCTGGACACCTTGTTTTGCTAACCCTAACCCTACCCTGGCTCACACTCCTAACCCCCCTATCGGGGTAAAAGAACATAGAAAACAATGAGATTTTGAAAAAGCCTTCCTTGAGCAGCCTTTTCCGCACTGCTCATCATTTCTGCCCATTCTGAACACATTCCATGCATCAAAATCATGCCAGGGCACCTCCTTTTGCCAACCCTAACCCTTCCCTGGTGCACCCCCCTAACTCTAATATAGGGCTAAAGCTCCATTGAAGAGAGGGATTTTTAAAAAGTCGTCCTTGAGTAGCTTTTTCTGCACTACTCATCATTTCTGCTCATTCTGAACACATTCCAAGCCATCAATATCATGCCAGGACACCTCGTTTTGCTAACCCTAACCCTTCCCTGGCTCACACACCTCACCCTACTATTATTATTTATTATTATTAGAACATTTCTATGCCGCCCCTTGCCGAAGCCTCGGGGCGGCTTACAACACAATAAAATACAATACAATACAAAAATAACAATATAAAATTAAAATTAATAATATAAAATAAATAAAAAATATAAACGATATAAAAGAAGTTATAAAAGAAAAGTTATAAAAGAAAAGAAAAGAAGTCGCCCTGGCCAGATAAATAAGTAAATATTGTTAACAATTAAAATGATGCTTAAATAAAAAAGTCTTCACTTGGCGCCGAAAAACAAATAACGACGGCGCCAGGCGGACCTCTCTGGGGAGCACATTCCATAGATTGGGCGCCACCGCAGAGAAAGCCCTCCTCCGAGTACCTACCCTCCTAATTTCTTTCACAGAGGGTTCCCGGAGAAGGGCCTCTCCCGCAGATCTCAAGGGGCGGTCGGGCATATATGGATGCAAGCGCTCCTTCAGGTAACCAGGTCCCAAGCCGCTTTATAGGTCATAACCAACACCTTGAATTGGGCCCGGACTTCAATGGGAAGCCAGTGAAGCTGACGGAGGACTGGAGTCATGTGAACATAACGCCCCGTCCCCGTCATCAACCTGGCAGCTCTATTTTGAACCAATTGAAGTATCCGGGCCGTCTTCAAGGGAAGCCCCACGTAAAGCGCGTTACAGAAGTCAAGGCGGGAAGTCACCAGCGCGTGTGTCACTGTTGCCAGGCAGTCGTACTCCAGGTAGGGGCGCAGCTGATGAATCAGCCGAAGCTGAAGGAAAGCGCTCCTCGCCACCACTGTCACCTGAGCTTTCACTGGAAGCT